TGAAAACTGCTGCTCATTTTCCTTGCAAAATTATTTATAGGGGTTTCTTGAAACCTAGAATAAAATCCAGAGAGGATTTGTGTTCATTCCTGTCAGATGAGTAGCGACAGTACCAACCTATCATAGTTTGACACTAAATTCACAGCTTGAGATTTAAAAAAATTGATATGTAAAAACATAAAAACTGTACATATTTATGGGGCGCCATCTGATGTTTTGATACACATATACATTATGTAATATTTAATGCAGGGTAAAAATGTCTCTGTGCTCAAACATGTATCATTTCTGTATGGCAAAAGCATTCAAATTCCTTTCTCTTACCTTTTTGAAACAGAGGGTGCCCTGTTGTTGTCTAAGGTCACCCGTCCGTGCAGTAGAACAAAGAACGTCTTCTATTTAATTGTAACTTGGCACCATTGACCAACCTTTCTGCATCCCTCCCTCCCTCCCTGCTACTCCTTCCAGCCACAACTCTCAATTTCTCAAAGCTTGAAATTCTTTTTTTGACCAATTAGTGGGAATTTGGGCTCAAAGTTTGAGTGATGATAGGCACATGGTTGTCACTTTTCAGAAATATTAAATACTTTTCTTCTGCTTTTCTCAGTGCCAAGACACCTCTCTTTTTATGCTTCTGGGAGTAGAATATGGGGCTGGTTTACACTTATTTCAACCTGAGCTGGATATTTAGTTCTTTAGGGCCACAGGGTTTTGGGGTAATAGAAGGTGATCCATTATTAGGCTCTTCAGACTGACTTAGGATTTAACTTTTGATCCCCTTCACCCASGAGACCTTAATTTCCAAAGCTTGAGTTTAACTAATTCAGAAGAAGCTCGCAAGGTAAAGTCTACATGATTCAAGTCTACTTGAATCTCTGAAATTTTTGCTTTCACTCAAATTGTGTCTTGGTGATTCCATTTAATCTCGTAAGATATTCAATGCTTTCTAAAATACTTTAAATTTTTCTTATCTATTATTTTTTTTGTTGTTTTATTTTATTTAATTTACTTATTTTGGATACCAGGGATTGAACTCAGGGGCACTCAACCACTGAGCCACATCCCCAGCCCTATTTTGTATTTTATTTAGAGACAGGATCTTATTGAGTTWCTTAGCACCTGGCTGTTGCTGAGGCTGGCTTTGAACTCGAAATCCTCCTGTCTCAGCCTCGTGAGCTGCTGGGATTATAAGCATGTGCTACTGTACCTGGCACATCTTTTGCTGTTTTAATCAGGCAGTTTGGTTTTTAATTGTTTAACCTACTGTATTACAAGAAATACAAATTTCCTTGTAAACTATAAATAAGTTTATTCTAAAAATTTCCTATTGGATTTTGAATTTATAGACTAATTAGGAGAGAATTTACATCCTTACAAGTTTACTTTATCCAAGATCCTAAAATATATACCTGTGTATTCAGAGTATTTTCTAGAATTATTATGGTTTGGATCTGGAATGTCTTCCAAGTTCATTGTTGAAGGTTTGCTCCCCAATGCAGTAGTGGGGCCTTTGGGAAGATGAATGGATCGTGAGGGTTCCAGCCTCATCAGTGGACTAATCCATTGGCTGACTCATAGCATGGACTACCAGGAGGTGCTGTAAACCCTAGGAGGGACCTAGATAAAGGGAGTGAGTCACTGGGAATGTGCCCCGTGAGAGTGTATCTTGCTTCCAGGCCCTTCCCTTTCCCTCCCTTTCTTTCTAGTTTCCAGGCACCATGAGGTGAGCAACTCTGCTCCACTATGCCTTCTCCACCAGGCTGTTTTTCCTCAGCGTGGGCCACAGCAATGGAGGCCACTGACCATGGACTAAAGTCTCTGAAACCAATCAGCTAAAATAACTCTTTCTTCCTATAAGTTGATCTTCCCAGGTATTTTATTACAGTAATACATTTTGAGTAACACAAAACTTTTATTAAAATTTTGATTTTTTCCCCATAAGTTCTTGTACACTCTTAACTTATTTATTTGGATATTATATAGTTTTTGTTTGTCATTTTGACGATAGATTGTCTTTGATTGAAATTTATAGTTGTCATTGCTTATGTAGGTTGACTTACATACGACAACACCATTGAATATTCTAGTGTTTTATCTCTTGAGTCTATTGTTTTATTTCTAAGAAAATGATCCTGTCACCACAAATAATGAGTGTTCTATATCTTCCTTTACAATATTTACGGTTCTTAATCATTCTCTTGTTTTACAGCTTTGGCCAGGACTTCTGATCCTATGTAAAACAACAGTCAGGATGAGAATCCTGTCTTGCTCCCAGTCTTAATGGGAATACTTAGGCATTTTGTGAACTTTCTGCTGCACTTGATCATTTTTTTTTCCCTTAAACTAAGTAGAGTGGTTTCTGCCACCTGAAACTGAAACCTCTTAGCTATAAAATGAATGTAGAATGAGAATGTTCCTATGACGATAGCATCTAAGGCCTCGAAGATAAAAAACAACATAGCACCAAGTATATCCCATATCCTAAAAATAGTTGAAATCATTTGTAGGAAAATATTGCACTCATTATGCAAGGCTCCTGAGAGAGTTCAGCTACCTCCAATCATAAGGCTAGTATCACCAACCTACATCTCTGACAATATGCAGAAAGACTGGGGAAGGAAAGAGAAGGAACCATCAAACTAAGTCATTGTTTGCATGGTGAAGTTCTTCTCAAGCCTAATAAAGAGGCTCAGGACAAAGCAATCACATGAAAGATGGGACTGTTCACAAGAAGGGGAAGTTGGTTTAGATGACTGTCCAGGCRAGAGGACTATTAAACATGGTGCCTCCTCCTCAGAAGGAAACAGAACATAGAGAGGATGATAATGAGGCAACCTACACTCCTATCCTTTGGCAAGACGAGGTAAGTTGCCTAATCTAGTGAAACCCAAGCTTTCGTCTTGCCAGGCTCTCTTCTGAAATGGTAACACATGAGTGGGAGGAACTCAATGCCTCAAGAGTGAGAGTGAGTCAGGGGCAAAGTGTACAAGAGGTTAACTGGAGCTGGGTCTTCCATTGGCATCTCAGGAAGCATCCAGGTTAGTAGCCAGTTGGTTTTAGCTACAGAAAAATCAATGAAAGGTTGCAACCATGTGTCCATTAGCTAAAGACTTCTGTCTTTTCTCCTCTGTACTGCTCCAACTCTGAAAAAGCTAAAACCATAAAGTATATCAGAAATTACTTTTTTTTCCCCGTAGCCTCATGTAATTTTAATTTTGAGTCCCCATACTGAGTGGCTGCAGAAATCAATTTATAAGACAATTCCACAGTTCCCTGCCAATCCTTAGAGTTTTGTCTAAATCCTAGGAGGCTTTGTGGAGCTGTGGCTTCATAGGAGACATTTGATCCTTGTTGTTACCATCTAATTTCCTGTCTTCACTCTAATCAAATGCCTACCCATCTTTGCCCTGATAGGAAGTCCTTTATAGATCCTAGTTCTCTCTCTGCTAATACCCGTTTCCCTTTTGGGCACATGGAAACTTGCTTGCTTCTGTGCCAATCTGAGTGCAGGTAATGTTGTGATGCTTTTTCAGAGCTTCTCTGCCATGCCAAGTGAACTATACTGGCATTTCTTATCTGCTTTAGCACTGGACTAGTCCCAGGGGAACCCCAGGACTTTGTTACTTCCCCCAAATACTGCCCAAGGAAGGACATAGTGACTTTCAGAAATCAGATCCCTCAAACTTCTGGGGAGATTTTTTATCACCCAGATTTTCCTAACTGGGGAGAAGGCAGGGCAGAGTCAATTGACAGGAACCCACCGATATCTCAATTCTCTTAGTCCTCTCAGTGCTGATACTCTACATTCTGTCCTAGTCCGGTAAGCTATGTAATTTAGTGGGTGTGAGGATAAGGGACAAAAACAAACAAATAAACATTATTGTATATATGCCCTTAATTTCTATTTTTTCTGTGTCTCCTGGTGGCTATGATTTTGAAACTTAAAATATTATGACTCACTATAATATTATGCTGGGCCATTCCTCTCTTAATGAAAACTACAAAGTCTTACCATCTACTCTGCTACAAAATTTTTCAGCAAAACTTACGTCTAGCTGAGCAATGTTCTTTAGGATATAAAGAGGTCTCCACAACTCCCCATTCCCAGGGGAGGAGAAAAAAACATCAACCAACCACCTGCTTAATAAGGAGCTTGAGTGCACTGATTCTTTTTAATGATTTGTCAAAGGTTGTCTTGGTTTTTGTTTTGTAAACAAGAAAGGGATGCTTGTGTTTACTGTTATCAAACTAAGGTTGGATTGGTTCTTAAGATAGGACTTTAGATCAGAACCATGTGACTTTTTCAGAGATGTTAGTGCCAAGTCCGTAGGAGGATGCTTAATAAGTGTTTATTGAATTAACCTGTAGAGCAAGCTGAGAGCAGTGGAAAACAAGTGCCCTGAGATCTCATCTCATGGTTCAGAGTCAAGCAGCTCAGGAACACTTGAAATACAGGTATTGGCACAAATAGTGACCTCATACAGGTAAATACATTACCCCTGTCCTTGCCCTAAGGTAGCCAGTGAGGCTTTGCTCTGTCAGATTTCCCAGAATCTGATTCCCTGTGTGTCTACTGGGGAGAATGCACGTTCAAGCAGGGCCTTGGGTAGTCTCATGATGCAGTTCTTGCTTTTTGCTGTAGACTGGGACACTTGAGTAGCATTTGGTGCCACACACAATTGGAAGAAGAGAACAGGAATTATAAATGCTTGAACATTAGTTTCTCTCCTGATCTGGACTGCAGGAGACTCAGAATATCACAGCTTGTAGGAGGCAATTGTGTTCCACAGATCCTAAGGGGCTATAAATGAGCTGGAGCCCTCCATGGCCACACCCCATGCATTTTACTGTAGAATGATATTGGGGATGCGTGAAGAAGAGTGGAGCAGTCTGACTTCTAGCTGGACTGTCATTAAGGTGGCTTGAGATTTGGTGGATGTTATGTAATCAACCTCTGTTCTGTCACCTCTAGCCATAAGAAAAGCAAGGCACACCTTTGATGGTATGTATTATTTGTTTACAATTCAACTTATTATATAATGGCAGGTTTACTTTCATCAAACATGTAGATCCTTTAGAATACCTGAAATTTAGAGTACACAGTAGAGAGCTTTGTGAAACACTGTGCCTATGAGAATTTTTCCATGGTATACAGAAGCCACTGAGGTCCCTTGAAGCACAGAGCCATTATTGGCATAGATGGTGCTCACCCTGGGCTGATCAGACAAAACATTCTGGATGCGTAGTACCTGTCAAGACAAGATCACTCATTAGTATATTATATGGGCAAATGGCTATCTAGTGATATTTTCTTTTCCAAATATACTAGGAAAAAAAWTTTTTTCAGAAATTAATAGGCTCAAATCTGTATATATTAAATAATCTTCCATCTTCTGACAATAGCATTAATGTCCTAAGAATATCTAGGTAATAAAATGGATTGCTTATCTGACATTAGCCAAATTATTCAATAGAGAGCTTGAAAAATGGTGGTAGCTTAGTCGTCCCCTATAGAAGGAGGTTAGACCCAGCGAACACTCTTATCTAACTTGCAAGTGGGCAGTGGTTTTCCTTCTGTTGGGGAGGGTCTTGCCTTTGATCCTAAAGCATGAGGAAGAGAACATGGGACAAAACAGAAAAGGAAACCCCAGTCGGCCACCGAAGTCAATCTGGTATGGGGGTGGTAGGTGGTAGTCATCATGGCTGGACCCCTTCACATCTTCCAGGTGGCTAGGGAGCACAAAGAACGCAGACTACTTTGGAATCCCACCTAATATATTAGTGACTAGTGCTGTTATTGATCCTCAGGGTGAACATCCTTAACTTTGCTAATCAGTAAATAAATAAGCACTCGGGTTTCCAAACAGCCTGGATAAAGTTCATTTAAGCAGAACATGACAGAACCTAAAGGAAAACAATCAGAAATTTGTGAGTGAAGAGTCTACATAGATACCTCCTGTTAAAACAGAGTTTAGGGTTTTGTTTTGTTTCATCTTAAGGAAGATCCTGCAACTTCATCTCAAGTTTATTACACAGCACTCACTCAAGCTTGGATTTTACACAGAAAAAAAAAAAAAGGACTCTACTGAAAGGAAAGGGTGTCAGCAACTGTGGAGAAATAAACCTTGTCTAAAATAAACAAGTGCTCAAACTTGAAAACAGAGATGGGAAAAAAGATCCTCCTTCGCAATCATTCTATGGATTCTATTTGCACTTCCTTAAGGCAGATGTTGTGGCTGGACTTTTGTCACAAAGTTAYTTATATCTGTCACTTGGGCGGGAGTGGCACGGGCACAGGACACACACCTGAAATAAAGATAGCTTGCTAGCTCAGTGTAAGGATTCTTCAGATCTGAAGCTCAGGCTGGAATTTAGTTTCTTTTTATATTTCTTGGTGCTTCCTTCCCCCCCCCCCAGTTGTTTTATTTTATTTTTAAATTTTTAATTTTTTATATTTTCTCCATGTTTTTTTATTGCTACATTATAGTTGTATCTTGGTGCTCTTTTTAAGAAGCAGTGACTAATGTTTTAATTTAAAAGAAAACAATTTTAGCTGAAAAACAGCAATATTCTTTAGCAGAAGTAATTGTATGTTCTAATTTACCCACTGGGCCAATTACCAGGCTAGGATTTAAATCTCAGTTTCCTAACTCCCCAAACCTGTATTCAAATGTTGTATCTTTCTCAAAACCATACCTTCTCAATGAGGTCAATTCTGATCTCTGTATTTAATATTCTTAACAGTGGTCTACCTCATGCTTTGAATATAGTCCTTGCTGCTCTGCCACTGAGACTTATTTTAAAATGGACATTTCCCTCCCCCCTTTTCTCTCTTTCCCAAACTAGCAAGTGAATTTCAACCCTCTTCCCTCTACCATCAGGGAAYACCTGGAATGTAGCCTTTGAATCACCTCTTTAAAAATTCTCTGTTCCCTTTGATGAGCAGAATCACCACCTCTGGGACTAGAGTTCCCTGTGTTTCTCATTTGCTAGCAAAGCAAAAAATCTTTTTCCTTTTTCTCAAAACTGTGTCCTGGTTATTGGATTGGCATCAACCCAGGCCTTGTTCACAGAAATCCTATCAAACTCAGTGCCTCACGCATGCTAGGTGAGCGCTCTACCTCTGAGCCACAATCTCAGTTCTAGAAGAGATTTTTAAAAAAAAAATAATGCAAATAAAACCTTTAAAATGAGACATTCTTTGACATGATTGTATCTACAAGCAAAAATTCATTTAACTTTGAGACTTTCATTTAAACACTCTTATTTCAGTCTCATGTAAAGGAGTCTGAAAGAAGATACTTCCATACTCATCTCTCTCTTTGCCTAAACAGAGGACCTTTTCAGAGTCYACCTTTTGGTTGGAAACACTATACAGCAATTTGGATCTATATGAATAATTAAGCTYATGTTTTCTCATTACTCCCAGCAGCAAATCAAACCCTTGCAAGGATGAAATACGTTGCCTGGCATTGATGTTATATTGGTACCTGGTGATGTGAAAGGACTATTCTGCCCAAATCTCTACACTTTTCGTTTGTAGAATTTGTTCAGTTTTGGAACATCAAGTATGACCCACATCACCTCAATAAATTGTTCATTCTTGCAACTTTACCTGTGAGCTCAATGAAATATAAGCACTTACTTCTGACCCTGGGGGATCCTCAGGGTTATAGTTCAGCAACTTCATGGCATTAGGATGGCATCCTGCCAAAATATCTCCAGTGTCAGGATCAACAGTTAAGTTATCCACCAAGGTGCCCAACTGTATTACCTATCAACAAAGAAGAAGTTGTGGAGACAATTTTCAGTGTCATTCCTATTCTCCCCACCTCCCACAAGTTCTTCCTGAAACTTGAACCTGGCATTGGCTTTGCTATTTCACTTTCAAAGCAAAAGCACAGTCTCACCAGCATTGCTCTAAAATAGTCATAGATGCTTCAGTCAAGGAGCACACACCTGGGTGGAGTGTGAGGGTTAGGCATGCCATGTTGTAGGGCAAGCTAGGGTATTTTACCTTCAGTTGAGTTAAATCCCAGTTATCATGCTTTTCCAGTATGTGAATGTTCTTATCTGTTATATCAGCTACATAGATATACCTTTAAAGAAAATAAAAATTTACATTTGAGCAAGTAGTAATGAGATATGACACTAACTCCTTTTTTGGAGAAGAGATATAAACATTCACATTAGTTTGAAGTACCACTGAGATGCCTTTCTAAATTACAGTAAAAGAAGATGATGAAGTGGTATTTTTAATATTCTTGAAATGTTTTAAAACAGGCTTTGAATATGAAATAACAAAACTGGTGTTTTAGATGATATATGGGCTCAATTTTCATTCTGAAGAGTTGCAATTTTTTCCTTACCTCAAGTAGAGGTTATAAGACTACAGAAAGACCAGCGCTTGAAAAAAAGTCTCAGGTGACCATGAAGCTCAATCATAATTTTTTTTGAAAGTGAAAAAATACTTAGAGGTATTTTTCCACTAAAATCATCTCTGTTTATTATCTCAAATTTATATCTTCTTATATTCTTGTTACTTCTCTTTTTTAAAGTCTTCAATTGTGGGGGCTGGGGATGTAGTTCAGTGAAAAAGCACCTCTGGTTTCAATCTCCCAGTACCACAGGGAGAGAGAGAGAGAGAGAGAGAGAGAGAGAGAGAGAGAGAGAGAGAGAGACCACTTCATTTTAAAAATGCTTATAAAGAGTGTTTCCTCATAAAATTTCATGCTGCTTAAATTAGTCATTGAACAGTCCACTGTTGTTAATCAGTAATTCTGAAAATTACATAATCATAATGCCCAATCTAAGGTGGACCTCCTTCTCTAATGAGAGCTTTTGGGTAACTGGACATAGTATTAATGGTTAAATACCTTCTAGCCTCATCAGGGACAAGAGWATTGCACACTTACTCTGCTTTACAGTGTATTAAAAAGTATATTTCTAAAGCCATGTAAGAATTTGGAACAAGAAGGAGTCTTTTTTTTTTTTTTAATGCTACTCCTCCTCTAGTAAGAGAGAACTTGAAGCACAAGAAATATGGTTTGCTTGAGATTACACATTAGTGTGTACCCTGGCTACACCTGATCCCTCCATTCATACACTAACTCTTCAAGTCTGAAGAAACAATTTCCTCTTAAGGGAAGAAATTTGGCAAAATGTCAAGGGCAAAGGGTAGAAAAATTATAAGAGCGCATACTTATGGTCTAGTGAGGCTGTGATTCCATTGGCAGAATTAAATCCTTTGGCTACCACTTTGACCTCTTTGGGGCTGTAGAAAATAACATGAGTCCAGTGCAGATCCAAGATCATCTCCAAAAGTGCCAAGAAGTAGGTGGTGAAATAGTGGTCTCTGGTGGCATAGAATTGTTCTGGCCCAAGAACCACAATATCATTCACACTAAAAAGAGAAACAAACAAACAAACAAAAAAAGGTGGAGGGATGCATGGAGTACTTGAATATCCTGATTATTGCTGAAATTGCTAATATCAACAAAGATGAATATGTTCCTCAGTTTCAAAAAGTAGACATGAATTACTATGGATTACAAGAATGTCACAAAAAGTACATGATTTTGCATTGCCATGATAGTTTTTTTTWAAGCCATTTATTATTTTCTCACCATACCTTCCATTTCTTTTGGTAAAAAGAAAGAAAATATACAAATAAACCTCAAACTCCAAACTCTATTGACTTATAAGTGTGGATAATGATTATCTGTAGCAGCCATAATTGTCATGGTTCTGCTCCTTTAGGAATTAGACTTCTTTGCATCCCTTGAAGTTAGGCACAGACATATGACTTGCTTTGGCCAATGAAATGAAATATCTGTGGCTTCCAGATGGAAGACYTTGGGAGCCAGTGGGTGATCCATTATGTTTCCATAGTAATGAGCAATTTTTCTGATGATAGAGAATTGTGATCCTCCTACAGTCCTAAATAAGAACAGTATGAAACTGAGTCCCTTAATCAGCAACGTTGGGTACGAAGCATGAGGAGTTAGGAAACAAAAATAAAACAAAACTATGTGGTTTTGAGCCTGAGCCTAAGTTTTTCTTCCTGTTATCATATCCCAACAGAATCCATCTTGGTCTTTATATTTTTCCCTGAATAGAATGAGTTGCAGGTGATATTCCTTCTTTTGACCTGCAATATCATTAAAATTCTTAACTGGAGCAAGCCTTATGCTTACAACCAGTAAAGATGGTAAAACCACTTCCATTTTGGAAAAAGAAAAAAAAAATAGTGACTTGAAAAAAAAAAAGAAAGATTAAAGATTTTTAGATTAAATTTTAGGACAGGAAATTTGGGAGGAATTGGGAAATTCTTTGAGGTTTTGAAGTATAATAACTTTTCCAAGGTCATTAGGCTTTTCAACTTTCATGTCTCAGCTTACAGGATCCTTCTTCCAAAAACCCTTGTCTGACACCATAAATTATGTTAACGTCTTACCTGACACCATAAATTAAATTCCTTCACAATTTGTTTCCATAGCTCTCTGTTCTGCCCCTTTTACTTACTTGGTCTGTGTGGATATCAGGGTACTTCTCATACTCCTCTTTACCTGCCTTGTTCTAGCAGCAGAGCTCTACTTCAACCAGTTCTGTGTGGGACCTRACAGGTTCCCCACAGGGAGAGCCTAACTACCCCATGCCTATTGTGGGCCTCTTGCCTCCCACTTCTGGCCTTCCAACATGACATCGGAGCACAGGATATCACCCGACTAGACTTGCATATGCACAACAGGGAAGGTCATGGAGGTAAAACCCCTTAAACCTATGACTAATGAGAGATGAGGCGGGTGGATAAGCTCTTCTCTTTCTAATCTTTGCCCGATTGTTCTGAAATGAGGCTTATGTTGCTTACTAGAGATAAGCCTATCATTTCAAGCAGTCCATTGTATTTAGCAGAGGCTGGATTGAAAATGGATTTGCTACAGTTCTCCCCATATATAAGTTTCCCAGTGCTGTCATGACAAGGTACTACCCAACTGGATGGCTTAAGACAACAGAAATCTTTGCCTCACATTTCTGGAGGTTAGGAGTCTGTAATCCAGGTGCTGGCAGAGCCATGTTCCCACTGAAGTTTCTATGGAATGATCTTTTTCTGCTGACTTCAGCTTCTGGTAGTCCYTGGCATTCCTTGTGTATCTGTCTTCTTCCAAGGGTACCAAGAGTACACCCTACTCCAGTATGACTTCCCCTTTAATTGCATCTGCAATGACTCTACCTCCATATTCTGCAATCCAGTGGATTCGGATTTCAACCTATCTCTTTTACTGAACATGATTCAGCTCATAACATTCTCCCTGTCTTGCTTCAGGTGGGTCTTTGACATGTGCATCCTGGAATTGAGCTCCCTAATAAAGTGGTCACATACCAGGTTTTTTTCTTCAGGCTGTGCTTTCTTGAACTCTTCCTGTGAGTTCATTTGCTATTGCATTTGATCCTTACAATCCACAAATTAGATAAATCAGGTCAATGAGAGAATTCTCATTTTATTAAGAAAATTGAATCACCAACTAAGTTCCTTGTCCACAGTTTCCCAGGGACCCTGTGAAAGTCCTGGTCCACTGTGGCTCAGAACCTTGCCCAATGCATTGTGGGAAAAGTTTAATAACCTCAACTTCTCTAACTTCTTCTGGCCTCTGCTTTTATTGCCTTCAAATTCCATAGGGAGAAATTCACAATTGATGTTGAGAAAAGGAGCAAAGGAGAGGAAAGTTCTTCCTTTCCTTTCCTTGTTCTTCTGTCTCATGGAGAAGTCAACCTTTATTATTTTAAAACCAGTCTTTTACCACTGAGCCTATTTTACATAAGAAAAATTCTTCATTGTTTTGTAGCACACTTGAAATAGGTAGCCCATCCACAAAAAAAAAAAAAAAAAATAACACCTATTTTTCTCAATGTAATGAGAAAGACATTCATTGCTGCAATTGAAAACTTTGCTTTGAATTCAGATGGATCTAGATTTGCACCATGGTTAAGACAGCTTTAAATTGTATAACTTGAGAAAGTTACCTATCCCAAAACTTCTTCAAGACTAGACTCAGTTTCCTCATGCCTATGACTAAAAGCTATTAAGCTGTTGAGAGAATTAAATTAAATCATGTCTGGTACACAGTCAACTYTTAATAGATATAATTTTATAAGTACCTATGAGCTTTTCTCAAATTCTACTTGAAAGCWCTGATTGAACAAAGAAATGGCCCATCTGGAGGTTGGTTATAACACCCAGTGGGTGAGGCTCACAGAATGCAACCTACCCAGACAACTGGGGAAGGGAGTAGGTGTTTAAAGAGAGCACAATGGAAGGTATTGAGTTGCTGTGGTAAAGAGGATGAAATTAGAGCTGGGAATCTAATTGAGCACCTTTATGGGATTAAAATTCTTTCAAAAAGTTGGAAAATATAGGGATATTCAATACTGAACACAGYAATTTCTAGCGAGGTGCTGGGCAGTGTCACCATGGGAATCTTAAGAGAGCTTTAGAAAAAAAAAAATGCTACAAAACAAAAGTTTAAGAAATCCTGCAGAATCAAAGAAAACAAAGCATACAGCGGAGGTACAAAATAAATAGAAGTACACAATACTTTWATTCTATACCTCTTGAGAAGTTCATGCTTTATGGTTTTCAGGTGTATGAGAGAACGTTGTTGTTCTTCAAATTTGAATATCTCCACAGTGGACTTCATGTGGGGATGATTCACAACGTAGAGATACACCGTGTGGTCTAAATGGGAGAAAAAGCATAATTTTCCAAGAGGTTTTCCTCTATTGCAACCATTATTTGACTTGTTTTAAAACTTGGTCACCTCTGAGGGTTTTTGTTTTAAGATGGGGTCTTTCTATGTGGCCAGGCTGGTCTTGAACTTCCAGCCTCAAGTGAGCCACCTGCCTCAATGTTCCTCATAGCTGGGACTTCAGGCATGTACCACTGTGCCTGCTGCAAGGTTTTTCTTCATGATCTTGTTTTTGRGCCTCACAGTATCTGATTAGTAATTAACACAAATACTAGAATCTCTACTTTTTTTGTTTGTTTGTTTTTGATTTTGGAAATGAAGCTCAGATAAGGAGTGACTCAGCAATTTCACCATCATCAAGTGGCAGAGCCTATCACAGATATTTGTGCAATGATCTCTTGAGCCTCACATGTATATACTAACAAGAAGGTACAGAATGACAATGGTGCATAAACACGGATGTGGTTTCTCCAGGTGACCCTTCAATAAGTGAGTGCAAGAAACAAAACTTTACTGAGAAATTTCTATGTGTGTGGCAATTGTTTATGGTACGATACAAGTTCAAGAAATGTYGGGGCAGTGTAAACACCTTCAAATAAGCAACATTTCCCATCTAGACAATGACCTTCTGTTACAAGTCAACTACCTGAGGTTGCAATAACAACATTTAGTTAACCCAATGGACATGGAATGTAAATATGAAAGTCAAAGAAAAACTAGCCCATTCCAGGTATCACCAACCTCAAGAATGTTAACCTACCTGTTTTCACTTTGGAATGTATAATTGAGAGTAGAAAGCTGACCTCAAAGAGCACTGTTATCTGACCGTCAGGAGCTCTAAGTCTGATGAGCTCTGGAGTTTTAGAAGGACTGGCTCCATTCTCCCATTACAGGACYTGTTATGTGTTCATCTTCCCTATTCCCTTCCTCAATGCAGTTTCCAATCAMATGATGGAGCAAGTCTAAACCTGAGATGCAAAGTTAATACTCAGGGTCCCTGAAACAAGTTGGGCTCTCTTATGCAAATTAAGGAAAGGTGCTCCCTCACAGGTGAATCTTTTGGTCTGACCCAGATGTGTTTCAAGACTTGGCAAACAGAACATGGATTGGATTTCAACCCCCAAACAATCTTTGGTTGAATCTTTGAAYCAGACTCTCTTGTTGGACAGAATTATGAATAACTGTTCATGCTGTCTTGGTTTTACCCCTTTTAGCATCTCTACTTGAGCCCTCTTTCCATATAAGTTATGCTTAGTGAGGATACTTTTGTTCTCTCTCTCCTCATTTCATCCCTAGTTCTATGTATAACRTTTTGGTCATATGAATTAAATACAAAATTAAGGTAGGGGACTAATAAATAATATAGGCTGTTAATCATAACATACTTAACTTCTGGAAAACCGATTATATAACTGAGAGTTAATCTATTCACTGGTCTCATAACAAAACAAAACACCCCTTCCCCCCTCTTTCTCCCCAAACCCTACCTCTAACACCATCCTATGCAGTAAAGTAGCTCCAGGCTAARTTCACTTAGGACATCTTCTCCCATGAAATCTCCCATGAGACATCGTATATGTAGCACAGTATCAGGCAAAAGTGTTATGGTTTTTGGATTATTTAMATAGAGCTTGATGCCCTAATTCACCCCAGTAAGATACAGGATTATGTATGATTAAAACTGGTCCCCAGTTTTCGATTGGCCAGTTACTAACAATAGAAATGATGTCACACTTCATTGCTCTTCTCTCAATTCCATTTTATCCATCTATAAAATTGAGTATTAATATCTGCTCTACCTGTCCTGCAGGATCCATCCATTTATTCTTCTAACACATATTCACTGAGTACCTGCTGTACATCAGATAATGTGCCAGAAGTCCAACAATGAACAAGTAACCTGTGTCTTTATGGTGGTGGTGATTATAATTTAAAGAAAACAAGGAAAGACAAAGATAAACTAAAGACAAAGAACACTAGAGTGCCTTCATTTATAGTGTCACCCACTCAAGAGTGACTATTAAGCTTGGATTTGAAGATGCGAAGAGGTTTCTACAGAGCAATAGCAGGAGAGGGAAAGAAAGTGTCTTTGTTGTTGTTGTTGTTGTTGTTTACATTAGTGATCATTTTGATGACCTTTGAGGAGAAATATGATAGGTATGCAACCTGAACCAAGATGGTGGCAAGGCTTCCCTGGGAAGGCAATATAAGCTGAGACCTGAATGATGAAAAGGAAAAAAGCTGGAAGTGCTGAAAAGACATTCCTGGCAAAGGGAACAGCAGATGAAAAGACCCTAAGGCATGGATATGACTAAAAGAAATTCATCTTGGCTGGTCCAGAGAACCTGGGGACAGTGGTATCCAGTGAAGACGGAGAGCACACAGATGCCAGAATGTGTAGGGGAAGCACCCAGGGACCCAGATTGTTCTGGAGATTTGGGATTTATCCTCAGAGTAATGAAAGCAATATGGAGAGTTTTAAAAAGGGAGTAACAATCACATTTGTATAGAAATAAGTCTTGCTAAATGGATCGAGGAGGTACAAGAAGGAAGGTACGGTAATGGAGTCTATGCGAAAATCCAGGGAAGTCAAGTTCAGGGCTTAGACTGGGCTGATGCAGCAGGATGGGGAGAGGTGGGCAGATTGCAGAGATATTTGAAAGGCACATCAGCCAGAACATTATAATGAGTTGACTGAATGGGTCAGAGAAAGACACAGTGTCAAGGTTGGGCCCAGGATCTTATTTTTAAAAATAAACTAGAATAGATGAAAATGCTTTGTAAACTATAAAGCAATGCAAAACTGTTGGGCACAATTATCTTTTAAAGAAAGGCTTGTTAATCAAGTAAAAAGTACACAGAAGATTTCAGGGATTATTTAGCCTACTTATTAGCCTAGTGTTCAAACATTTTAGAGGTCTCCGTTTATTTGAAAATGAAGAAATTTAGTCTGGGTTGTAGCTCAGTGGCAGAGCACTTGCCTAGCACCACATTAAAAAATAAATAAGTAAAAATTTTAAAAATTAACAAATTTATGTTAGTGTAGACCAAAGGAATTGAACAAAGATACGTTGAATGAGTGTGTAGAAACAATCTTTGATCATTCTTTTTTATTCACTAAAATCACCCTCAGCAAATTTCCACTTAGCAATTCATTGGAACGCCAGTAGATATTTGGAAAAATTAAAATGTTTTTTAAGAATTCTGAATTATAACTCTTCAATTTGGTCTTCTCTTCATGCAGACACTATTAGTGATTTATTTTTTTTTGTGGTGGGGGGGGGAACAGGGATTAAACTCAGGGGCACTCAACCACTGAGCCACATCCCCAGCCCAATTTTGTATTTTATTAGAGACAGGGTCTCACTGAGTTGCTTAGCGCCTCACTGTTGTTGAGGCTGTCTGAACTTTTGATCCTCCTGTCTCAGCCTCCTGAGCTGCTGGGATTACAGGCATATGCCACCATGCCCTGCTTGCTAGTGATGTTTCACCATTCTTTTTTTCTATCAATTAATGGAAACACACATACATAAAATTTAAATGAGTTTGAATTATGAACTATGAACAAGTCAAATATAATATTGAAGAATGCTATTTTTAAAGTATCACAATGTTTTAACTATGCTGTGTTTTTATAATTATAATATAATTCCCATATCATTAGATTTGGTCTTTTAAAATGTAAAATTGAGTGTGTTTTAGTACATTCACAGAATTGTGCAACTGTAATCACTATCTATTTCTAGAACATTTTTATTACCCAAAAAGAAACCACATACCCATTAGCTGTCACTCCCTATTCCCCACTCCCCTTGCCTCCGCCAACCACAATGTAGTTTCCGTCTCTATGAAGTTGCCTATTCCGCTGGGTTTGTAGGCATGCACCACTGTGCCAGCTGGGTACAAGTTTTTGTGTGGATGTTTCCACTTCTCTTAGGCACACACTGAGGAGCAGAGCTGCTGAATGGTAACTCTATGTTTAACATTTTGAGGAACTGCTAGATTGCTTTCCAAAGTGGCTGCACCAGCAAAGTCCCAGTTTCTCCACAGCCTTGCCCATACCTGTTATTGAAGGTCTTTTTATTATTACTATTATTATCATTGAAGTGGTTGTGAAGAAGTAATTCATTTTAATTTGCATTGCCTGAGTGACTTAGATGGTGGACATCTTTTTACATGCTTACTGGACATTTGCATAGCTTGTTAGGAGAAATGTCTTCAGATCTCTGTTCTGTCCTTATTTTTTTTTTTTTAAACAGAGCTTCCTTCATGTTAAGCACGTGTTGTACCACTGAGGTACATACCCATCACTTCTTATTTTATTTTGAGACAGGGTCTTGCTTAGTTGCCTAAGTTGGCCTCAAATTTGCCATCCTCTTGCCTCAGTTTCCCAGATAACTGGGAGTATAAATGGGCACCACTGCACCCGGCTCTGACCACAATTAAATTGTGTTGTTGAGTTGGAAAATTATGTATTCTGGATACAAGATTTTCATCAGATATATTATTTTGCAAATATTATTTTTCATTCTTTTCACTTTTTCCCTCTCTTGATGGTATTTCTTTTTTTGCTCAAAATAAATAATTTAATGTTTTCTGATAACATCACAGATATTACTACTTCCATGCCTCTATTCACACCCTTTTCTCTAACTTCTCAAATATTTCCTTTATACAGTCCTTTCTCTGAGAAGCCACCCTCAGCCACAAACCATCAGTTAAAAGCTCTTATTTAATCCAAAATGTGTCAAATGCCATTTTATATATAGAAAATAATGAATCACTATTGAAACTCTAATGAATATTATAACTTACCCAATATTTATTTTCAGTTTTATTTATTAACTTGCTAAATGTTAATTATTTAAGAGAAAAAAATCTTGATGGTGTTTTTGAGGCACAAACGTTTTTAATTTTCATGAGTCCAATTTATCTATTCTTTATTTTATGTCTTTTTAATGCCACAAAATTGTTTTCAAAAGGGCTTCAGTTTATGTGTTAGATTTCTGAGTACAGTATACAGACAGGTTATGGTAGTCAGATAAGTAAAGAAGTGGATAGGTGAGAGAGTCAAGGACCGGAGCCCTAATACTAGTCTTTCTTCTTTAATGCACTGTTTAAAAATGTTTTTGTACACATTTAGACTTTTACAAATATTGTATAGCATTTGCCCTTTTCTTTAACATGAATGTAGGTAATGAATCATTTCTAATTCCTTAATTTCTCCTCATCCTTAATCATTCAGGCTTTACCTTTGTCGATGAAGGTACTGATCCCATGTGGATTAAAAAATTTTTCGTCAAATCCATCACTGATTTTCAGTGCTTGTGCCCTTGGGTTTTGCTCATTCAGATCCATCAAGTAGATTTTTCCTGACGCATCTGGTGCCAAATCTGGCATGCCTGGATATTTTAATCCCTATTAAAAATAGAGAATAGGTATGCACACATAAACATATTAAAATAACATTTTCATGTGGAAGCTAAAAATCTCAAAGCCAAACAAAAATTTTCAGAGTACTACATTCATTTAGATTTCTGGGGTTTTCAACATGGTCAGCTCTTGCCATTATCTGATCTGGGGATTACCAATGACATCTCAGCATTGGCCATGGATATGGGAAGACCCGTGTTCAAGATAAGGAAACATTTTTAATTTAGAAAGGGTAGGACACAAATTATAATGCAAAAGGCCAGACTGCTTTGTTTTGTGCATGTCCCTCGGCAAGCCTGCTGCTTAGTTTCCTCATTTATAGAGGAAATTGAAATTTGTGGTTGCTAAATATTCCTTATTCCTCTTTATTTTGAATGGATAGTGTTATTTCCTACTCTTCTAAAAAGATAACACCACTTTTTCCCAATTTCAAACTTTTTCTCTCAGTTTCTTTAGTTTTACTCATTCTCTTCCTTTCTCCCTCTTTTATCAAGGAAGAAGCCTCCTTCTTCTATTGTTACATTGACATCTTCCACCTATTTGCTTGTTCCCTGTTCTCTAGGGCCTGTCTTTAGAAATCATGACTTCTCTCTTTCTCTTGCTGTATTACTCATTTTTCACCAATAGCTTCTTCTTTGGCCTGAAAAAAAAAAATCCCATATTTCTCTTTCCTTGAAACAAATCTCCTAAATTTACTCCAAATACATGTTTATTTCTCTTCCCTTCACCATCAAATTTTTCAGAAACATCACCTGATTTGCTCCAATCCTCAATTCCCTGAAATCAGCATTCTGCTCCTGCCAGCTGTAAAAATGTCTCCATGAAGTTCTACCAATGGTCTCCAAAATATTTTACTTGACAGCCCTTCTATCTTTCCTTCCTTGCATCTCTGAGGTACTTGACACTATATGTCAAAAAGTCAAAGAGAGTTTAGAGATAGGACTACTGCTTCCATTCCTCCCCCCTTGGATTTCTTCCTCCTTCTGTCCTCTTCCATCTCTTTTCCCTTCTTGCTCTTTCCTGGTAGGTCTCATTCATAAGATTTCAGGTATCTCCTCTGCACTAATGACTTTCAAATGCATGTTTACCTGTAACCTGTCTTTTTGGTGCTCTAGCTTATGTTCCCAAATACCACGTAAGGGCAGCTCAAAATCAATTTGTCAAAACCCAAGTAAATATCCTCCTGTTAAATTCTTTCTCTCATGGATATTTATTCTTCTCTTAAGGACATCACCATTCTTACAATATCAGGCATTCATAACATTCGATCTTCAAGTCTATTCTATCTCCAGAGCCAATTGTCCCCAGGCCTAGTAGCTCCTAGAATGGGAGCACTGGAAGAGGAAGAGCATGAACATCTAGTCTCATACGTCCCCTTTCACCTGAGGAAAATGAAGTGCAGAGAAAGGATTTGCCTAAATCATCCTGATCATTCACTGTGCTGCCTTTTTCTGCCAGGAAGAAAACTTCTGCCTCTTTCTGCAGGAGGAAAAAATTGAGAGTAGAGAATATTGCTCAGGAAGATACCTCAAGTACACCTCTGTAAATACCTTGGTAGCCTGGAGACAGACAAGGGCACTGCCAACTCGGGGAAGGACTAGGTGCTCTAGAAATGGAAATGATGTGATGGAGTCAAAGGTGAGGCATTGTAAACAAACTCAGCCTGAATTAAGTGTAACAATGAATAAAACCCTTCTGATAAAAGGCCTCACACCGTGTTTTCTGTTTAAGTTAGGTGAGAATTAGTGGCAGCAGTCCTACTGTGTGCTAGTGATGAAAGGTAACTCTTTGCATACCATAAACCCATGGAAATGGTGACCATCATCTGGAGATGCAGGCAGCTTGTTTTCCACAATAGACTACAGGTATGTGTGGACAATCATCGAAATCCTCCACTATTCTCATTAACCACCCCAGGCATTCAGGAAAATTCAAGTAACCACCTATGCCAGGGGGTGTGTTAGGTGCTGGGCATGTCAATGACCACTGCAMAGTCCCAGTTCTATGAAACTTGAAATCTAGTGGTGCAGCAACAGGCAAGTACATCAGTATGTATGGCATATGAGAGCATTAAAGTTCAGAGGACACGGAGGGCTATAGAAGAGACACTCATCCAGCAAGGGAGTGCTATGGAAGACTTTCCTGAGGAGGTAGTGTGTCACCACAGTGAGGTCCACAAACAGGAGTTAGCTGGCAAAGTGTGAAGGAGAGTAATCTTGCCGGCAAAGAGAAGCATGCCAAGTCCCAAGTCAGGGAAGAAAATATCTTGTTTGGCACCTCTGAATAGACTAAAAATATCAACTGTGCAAAATTACTCCCTAAATCTGGGATGGCAAGAAGGGGTGAAAAGGAGAGACCAACAAGAACAAGGTCTTGAATGTGTTACAGCACAGAAAGATTAGAAATAACCAGAGCATGATCCTTAGCCTCTAAGAATAAGTTATTTGTTAGTGTGGAAAAAGAGACTCATTATTCAGAACTTCATGTTAACATTCCTCATGTAATATTTGAGATGAAAATATCTTCTTTCTGCCCAGTAATAATTTTGAAGCTTCCTTACAGTGAAAACAGAAAAAAAAGTATACAGACAATATGATTGATGCATGTACATTCCATGTATGTATTATATATCAAAATTCATTCTGCTGTCATGTATGACTAAAAAATAAATAAATAAATAAATAATTTTTTAAAAATGAAAAAAAAAGAATACAGGAGTAATAACAAACATTATTTCCTAGTAGCAAAGAAATTTCCTAGCTACAGAATCATCATTTTTTGAAGGTCTGTTTGGCATAACACTAAAAATTCAGCTTGACAATAGTAAATTTAGGTCAACAAAGTAAAATCTTTTCTTTTTTGATTTTGGAAGAAAAATAAAGAAATAAAATCCCAACCATAAATGCCACCACCAGCGGTTTAAAATCCAAATGAGACCTCCCCTGTACTTTACCATTCATAATTCAGAATTTAGAATTTCAGGACATGGTTACATAGGTGCCTCATTTTTGTCCAAATATGTTTAGATTTAAAATTCATGTTCTCTTGTGATATTTTTAATGGCCAAATGGAATATCAGACATTTAATTCTAGTAATAAAAATTCATTCACATTAAAAATATGATAAATCCACTTATTCAAAATCTTAAACCCAATTCCAATATGTACAAGTGCATGATAATTTTAAAACCCATTCCAATTTAACAAATACATGATAATTTTCAACATTTCACAAGGACACAATGGTTTTGTTTATTGATTTTCAGTCGCTGGCATAATTTCGAGATCATTCCAAACTCAGAACGGTGGTATTAGAAACAAAATGTAGGTTCTTCTCTACTTCTGTTTGAATGACGTGGAAAGAATAGCAAAGACTCTAAGATGAAAAGTGCTCAGGGTTTTGAACTGAGTTAACGTTCAATACACTAACACAGAGCTCTAAACATAAGCAAGCAAAAAGAATACGAGTTCGTGAGAAGATGACTACCGGAAACAGACCCAATCCATCAGGGCAATGATGGAGACGGTCAGCAACAGGACAGATCTGAAGATCAGCCTGGGAATCAAATGGAAATCAATACACATTTATTGAGATCGTAGTGAGTGTGCAGCTGACCACAGGGAACTGCCCTGCATGGGGCAGTCAAAGCTGGGCATTCCTGTGGTGTTCTAATTAGCCCTCCAGATTCCTATTTGGGCTTTTTTAGTTGACTTGTCTACCCAGAGGCGGGATGAGAGTATGGGGTCCATCTGGCAGCCCTCGCTGACAACATTAATGCACTGTCTATACAACTATTGATGTGAGCATCAGAACAGCCTGGATATACTCACATTGGAGATAAAAGCCAGCCCACTAGGAAGTATATCAATATCTTCAGAGCCATTTTCTGTAAAGAAAAGAAAAGAAAAAAATCAGAAAGATGCATATATGAAGGTTTAAAAATAAATCTCTTAGTCCAAACTTTGAATGTCTTTTAGAAAGTGCACTGACTTTTCAACCATTTACTTGGGAAACTCTAATAGAGTTTTAACTTGCAGGAATCCCACAGGCATGCTACTGTAGAAGAACGCCTGAGTCAGACTCCTCAAATACTACATTCTTTTTTTTAGAAATCATTTTCAAGATAAAAGGTAAATAACTAGAAAATAAATTTCTATCTTAGATTTATCTTTGAAATAACAATTTTCAGGCTATGTCCTGAGAGATTCGACTTTATCTCACATAGAAGGCTTGTCTACAGACTGAATGATAAAATCTGGAAAGTCATAATTGAGAAGTTCTCTGATGGGCCTCTCTCTGAAGCATTCCTCCTCTTTGAGCTTGTTGAGCCCCCCAAAATCTATCATTATACAGCATATTGGGAAATTACTAAATAATTGTTTTCTGTTATAAACAGCTATAGGTCTTAGGATAAACTATTGAGTAGAAATGAATTTGAAAGGATTTAATCAGATAGCTCATTGAGAACTGCTCTTGAGCATTTTTTTTCCCATGGAAAGAAGCATATAAGATAGAAATTTTGGTTGAGAACAAGATGAAAAGGGGGATGGCATGGTTTATGGTAAGGAGATAGATTTACTCAAGACCTGGTCCTAAGCAAGCAGGACTGATACAGAAGGCAATAGGCATCTAGGTTGGTGAACTATATTCTACAAATATCAGAATCAATGTATACCATGAGCATATGTTCTTCTTAAAAGCGTGAGGTACACCCTCTTCCACTAAGAGATAAGATCTATCATCTCTCCCCTGGAGCCTAGGCAGTCCTTTGTAACTGCCTTGACAAACAAAATGAAGCAAATATAATGCCATATCCAAGGCCAAGTGTCCTAGCCGTAGCTGCCCAAGGTCACACACACTCATGGTCTTTCTGTACCTGTATGTCTATCAATTCTATCTCTTTCTCTCCCAAGGCATCTTGGGATCCCTGAACTGAAATGTAGGAAATATGTTTATTCTAAAGCTACAGAGGAAAGAATGCAGAGAAACCACACAAGGTAGAGAGAGAGAGATACCACAGGAGCCCTAGAGGACTCCTGTTCCCAGCTCTTGAGTTGCCTTCGTAGATGCAAATGGAGCAGGTGAAATGTCCCCATCAAGTCCTGTCCAAACTGCAATCATAGGGGTGGGGTATAGCTCAGGAAGCACCCTGGGGTTAATCCCTAATTTTTTTTTTAAAGAGTCAATTTTAAAAATCACAGATTATTTACTTTTCTAGGGTTTCTTCGGCATCATCACATACCCCTACTTGGTTTGTTTTACCTTAATCTCCTCCCCACCTCTTTCCTAAGTATCCAGGATCTTTGATTCTTTCTCATGGCAGATCACACATGCTATTTGCATGGTTCACTCCAGCCCCATGGCTTCAGCTTCCACCCACCACATGCTCTTGGTTTTCTGATCTCTACATCTAGTTCATCAAGTCCATCAAGTCCAAACCATTCTGTAAAGTTCTGTGGTCATTTGTATGTTGAATATTTCTAGGGTTTTTTTTTCTTTTCTTTTTTATTCAACAGGTTTCAAAATTATTTTGAATAAGTTCCATTTACTGTTTTTTGTTGTTGTTGCTTGTTGTTGAGCACAGGAAGTTGGTGCTTTGCATTCAGAAGTATAAAAGAACTACCAGTTCGTCAACTACCACCCTCCTTAGCTCTGCCTATGCTGCATCTGCACGATGGGCCCAGTTCCTATGAGCAACAGGGGCTCCTGTGGGAGTAAGAGCCCCAGAACAGTCTCCTCTGAGTTCTCCCCACACACTCATTAATCTGCACACAACCATCATTAAAACCCCACTGCTAAGCCAAAAAAAAATCTGTCTTATGAACAGTAGGGTACCCACTGTTTTCTAAGCTATCAATCCTACCACGACTTGGCATGATCTTTAATCTTCTTCATGTCTTTTCTCATTTCCTATAGGCACCCCGAGAAAGGGTCACAGCAGAATTTATCATCACTTAGTTTTATAATTATTATTCCTCTGTTTGGAGAGAATGTTATGATAGCTGGCTAAGAAAACAAATGGAATAACATATAGAGTAAGAGCAAATCTTGGAGACGGGAGGCTACAGAGGAGAAAAAATGATGGAAGGGAAGATGGGAGGCTCCAAATTAAAGGCTGCCCATATCAGCCCTAAGAAAGCTTGTTATTTTTCAAGTGAACCTTTGATCAGATGCCAAGGACAGTCAAGTTACTTCCTGATTAAAATAATCCTTGACCTTCAAAGCCATGACGCAAAAAGATCAACAGTACACAAAGAACTATGGGGTATACTTACTGGAGGAAGAAATATTTCACCTTTTAGTCTTTCCTCCAAGAAAGAATATTAGGGAAGGAAAACAAAAAAAGAAAGAGTTTCTCCCATATATAAAATTAACCTCCAAAGTCTGGTCTTGAAAAAACACATATTAGTACTTCCTTGAGCTCTGTTATTCCTGTCTACATTCTACCTAAAGACCATCAATAGTTCTCCACCACTTCATAAAACCTACCATCAGAGAATTTTGTAACATTTCTGTTACAAAATGTGTTGTGAGTCACTAAGACACGTAGCGTCACATGATATTGAGTATGAAGCCACAGAAGAAAACCATCTGATTCCCACTTTAGGTCTGTCACCTTCTAGTTCTGGACTTTTGGGCGAGTAACCTAATTCTCCCAGGTGTCGATTTACTATTCTGTACAGGGCCACAGCAGCACCTACACTACAGATGAGTGATGAGGATTCCACGGAGTGCATTTAGGCTCCAAGCCTTTGATGAGCTAGCTTTTTAGTTGCAGATGTATATGGGTATTGTCCTAGTGACAAATGACCCATGGTCAGCCTAACTTGTTTATTTCTTCAAATATAACATGTAAATATATACAGTAGATATAAGAAGCAGCACCACATTATTATTTTTTTTTTCTGCTGCTTCTATCCAGCTTCCAATTATTTTCTCATTTTCTTCAAATATTTGGAATATTAACTCCAGTTTTAGTTTCTGGAATTTGGTAGAGTTTTAGAATCTAAAAGTCGGACCAGACCTTAGCAATCATCTAGTCTAATTATCCCATTAAATAACTCGGCAGGCTGCTGTCTTTTGAGAGATTTATGTGCAGTAAGTATGATTATTATTCCTCAAGACAGTAAACAAGTATGTAAATGTCACATTTCTTTGTTCTTCAAATACAATTAAATCTAACTCTGATCCTCTATTTCAAGAAGCTGATGGGAAACTGAATGTGAGGCATTACTGGGTCTCTGGTAGGATTGTGCAATGATCCTTGGTGATGGTTCTTAAAATCAAGCAGAAAGTTTGCTCGCTGCCAGGACTATGATTTAGATTTAGACAATTCTGCCACTTGCATGCTGTGCACAGTGTCTTTGGTCTAGGCTCCCTAAGGATACCTTGTATCCCTCCTTCTGAGGTCCTGCGCTTCTCCAGAATGCTGTCAGACAGTGGGGGCAGGAGTCGCTGCTACTCAAAGAAAGCCACATATTTTCATCCCTTTTCATCAGAACCCTTCAGAGGCTCAGGTTCTCAAAATCAAACATCAGCAAGGGGTTTGTCTTTCATTCTGCCTTTTGGCTGGCAAAACCAACCACTTCTAAGACGGGGAAGAACAAGGTCCCGAAGACTCCTTTATAGAAATTCAGTGGGAAGAGAAATAGAAAACCAAAACCAAAAGAATCCCCCTTTTTTTTGTTTATTTTTGTTTTTTTTAAATACATATAGCAAGAAAAATAAAATACAAATTCATATCAGAAAATAAACTTTCCTGTCACATACCAATAAATAAGTTACAGTCCTTGACCTTAGGGGTTTGCAAGCCGGGAGTGAAAGCGAGTATTTGTTTTGTAGTGTTAGCTACAAAATAATGCATGTGGTAGATGCTGTGAATGAATCAGAGTCTCTGAGGGCTGTGAGAGCTCAGAGGAAAGACATGAGTAGCTGATTTCAGGCAGCAGAGACGAAGGCTTTCATTACTAAAGGTGAAGTAGCGATGAACACGTTCCCAGGGAGGTGAGCAGATTCTATCCTGATTTTTAATTATTTTCCAGTAGCCATGTCAGGAAAAATTAGAGGCTTGGATCCCAAATAAACAGCCTGAGGGTGACTAGTAGAGGAGATCAGCCCCGTAGGGGTACAGAGGAGACAAGTGCCCCTGAGTCTTATGGGCATCCTGCAGGACAAGGGGGAAATGAACGGTTCCTGGGTTTTGAACTAAGCCTCTTGAAGATGGGACACCGCACACAGAAGTCTAGACCATCTGGCCATGGGTGGGGACATGACAGGAAACAACAGAGATGTAAAATAGACTTCTTCTAAAACTGAGTCGAAAAAAGCATAGCTACCCTTTAGTTGATGGGAAAAGAAGGGCTGCTGTTTGAGAAGTTGGGGATCTAACTGTGGATTTTAGAGTAATTTTTTTAAAAGGCATCTAGGTAGGCTGAGGTTCTCAAGGGTAAATGCTAAGTCAAATTCCTCATGGTACTTGCAGGTAAATGTAGAAGGAAATACAAGACTCTCATCAAAGAGACTGAGGGAGGCAGAAAAAAAAAGGAAAGAATAGAAAAGGAAAGGAAGGGAAGGAGGGAGGGAAGGGCACAGGAAGGAAGAGAAAAAAACTAAGGGCAGGTAACAGAAGAAAGGCAAGAGAACAAAATACCACACAAGGGGAAAGAGGGAACATCAGCAAGAGAGCAGGCAGGGAATAGTCAAATATATTCTTCAAACCACAAGAGATATGTCATTAAGGAAACAGGCTGAGAACAAGTCGTAGATATTGGTATTTTGGAGACTTTGCATGGTATAGCTTGGGTAAAGTGGGTGATGCAGCAGCCACACCACGAGTGTCTAAAAAGTAAGTGAATCAAATCATTTTTTTCAGACTCAGTTAGGTGGATGGTAACCAAGAAACTGTACGAGCCCCTCTGGGTGCTGTCACATACATACCAAGTCCCTCAATGAGATGGCAGTTCTGGAGTTCTACAGGTTCCAATTCTCGAGTTGCATTAATTCTTTCTCTGTAGAAAACAAAACCCAATACAGAAGTCAAGGTACTTCAGGAGTGGTTGACTCTTCGTGCTAGCTTATGAATGACATAACAAACAAGTAAGGCAACTCCTTTTATTTACGACTTTCCCTAACATGGGCTTTATATGAGTAATGTGCCCCATCAGCTAACTTTACTGTTATTGCTGAAAGACTAAACATGATTACACATGGTAAATACTTGCTGTCCAAATAAAAGACACTGTTGAATGGTATGAGTAACTGAATGATATTATTAATTTAAGTGCACAAAGTTGTATTATTAAATTTTCTAAAGTATTATCTATTATAAGTCTGCATTTCTGCCCTTGCATTTTTGGACCCCACCCCCACCCCCTACCAAATGCTTCCATAATTTCTATATAATTTGTCTCTGAAGAGTTAAACCTCATACTTTTGCTTTCATCGTATTATGTTTAAGCTTATACTGACTTAGTTTGCAAAACTGTAAATTTATTCAGCTGACCACCATTTAAACGATTAGCCAAATTATTTTGGGGTCCTGGGTTCCTATTTCCACATTCTTCTAAGTATTATGTATTTTACTAAATAATATTTGGGAAGACCATACTTGGCTTTATCTTTTAATACTAAGTAATATTTGGGAAGACTACACTTATCTTTAAATCACTTACAAAACATACCCCTTAGGGTTGGTGTTATAGCTCAGTGGGAGAGTGTTGCCTAACTCTACCCAGCACCACCCAGAAGAAAAACAAAAATCAACCAAAAAAAAAAAAAAGTAAACAGACAAAACAAAAAAACCCTTAAATCGACTTTATTGTAATTTTATGATTCCATCATTTGTTATGTAACAATAAACACTTCAACTAAACTAGAAAGTATTGCCGACAGGCACCAGGCATCTCAATAGATTGTGAACATGAACCTCTGAGAAGAACAACTACTGCTTAGGTGCTGAGAGCCATTGCCAAGTAGGAATGACAGCATGGAAATTTCCTTGCCAGCATACCCGTGTTGCTTAGAGGAAGGACTTGTGGAAATGGACTTGCCTTGGACATTCCCAGTGACATTGCATGTATGTTTGAGAAAGGTGACCCTGCTCAAGGACCAGGGTGGATCCGGGTTTAAGGAGGATCCTACTGGATTAGGGCGGATCCAGGTTTAGGGTGTATCCTGCTGGGAATAGGGCGTATCCTACTGCCTCAGGCTGGCCGCTCCCAGAGTATTTGGGATTCAGAACGTGTATTTGGAGAGAACGTGAATTTCCCCAGAACGTGTTTGTAGAGGGCTGTGTGAGTTGGGAATAAAGAATTGCTGTTTGAATCTACAAGGCTGTGAGTGGCTTGTGATTTTGTGCCCAGCCAGACTGAGGCACTTAGGAAAAGAAATGAAAAAAAACAAAACAAAACAAACAAACAAACAAACAAAAAATCCAAAGACAGCTGAAGGCAAGCAGAGGCTTCAGATCCATTCAGGAACATATACCTCGTGTCACTACTTGAAGATTTTTTGGAGCCCAATGCTGACTCCCTGAGACCTTGGATAAATAGCGAACACCTCTCGTTCTTCCACTTCTAAAGGTCATATCCCCCCAAAATGCCAGTTACCACCGGCAGGTGTTCCAACTCTTCTGTGCTGTTGATCTCGCTCTTGGAGCCCGGGATGGGCCCTGTAACCTAGTACTTCTCAATGTGCACTCAGGTGTCCAGTGACTGTGTCAGCACTAAAGAGGCAGCTGGTGGCCTGTCCCCTCCCCCAAGTCCGGGTGCGTCCCCCCCACCCCCAGTTTGCTTTTCCACACGCAGAGTGTTGAGGGTGACCTGGGACAGCAGGACGTGGTCTTCAGAAAACAGATGTGGGCGTTTCTGCCCCATCGCCCTGGGAAAGACAGACAGCTCACTTTTCACAGAAGTGATTCTCGGAGGACACTTTGCTGGATGGGATGGAGGAGTGAGGTTTCAAACCTGCGCCTGCCCTCGGGGGCCGCCCTTGACCTAGCTTGGACCACCGGAGAAAGAGAGCCAAAGGCGCCCCCGTCGAGATACCCACTCACCTAAATGCCAGTAAGCGCTCCCCGATCAGGGCCAGGCTGGCCCCCAGCACGGTCAGCACCACTAGCTTCCCCATGGTCTCGGGGTGCCCAGTGGCGACCAGCGGGTGCCGCAGATTTGCGCTGGGTGCCGGGGGCAGGCTCGATCACCGATGGTGATTGGGGCCCGCGGGGCCCCGCCTGCCCGCCCGTCCCCGGGGAGGTGCGCTGCGGTCCCGGGGGAGGTGCGCTGTCAGGTGCTGCGGGCTCTGCGCCAAGCCGCCCAGGTTCAAAGTCACCTTTACGCGCAGAGTTCAAGGAAACCTTTGTTCGTGGGGGTTCAAGAAACTCGTGCACGGGTTCTGGGCGCTGTTCCTTCCCCCAACTCCCCTCCAGGTTTAAGTTGCAGAGAGGGAGACAGCATCCTCCAGTTCAGGATCCGCCAGTTCAGGATCAGCCAGTTCAGGGTTGTGGTTCTCTTGGCAGCTTCGGCAAGAACGCACCGGTTCCTGGACAGATGCACTGAGTTTGCTCCTAAAAACCTTGGAATTTAACCTCGGTTCTGGACTGAAGGGGGCTGAAGGAGCCGGGGAGGGTGGGAAGCTAAAATTCATAGCCCAAAACTTGGGGTTTCTGGCAGGCAAGACCTGAGATGAGATGAACAGAATATCTCTGGAGACACTGAGGAGGAGAGAAAATAACTCGAAGCCAAGATCTTTAATCTCGTTCTTCTCCGAGATTTGGGGCAGTGGACCTTGCCTTCCAATGTCCATAAACGACATCAGAGACCTGAAAGTCATGGGTGTCCAGTTCCAGGACTTGGACTGTGAATAACAGTATCTGTCTCCAACGTTGGTGGGATAAAGAAAAGTCAGGAGAAGAGGAGGAAAAGAAATAGGAAATCAGAAGATGAGAATGGAAAAAAAGTTTTCTTAGGAGACTTTCAGAATTTTCCTTGACCCTTGTTTCTAGGATTTCAGTTACTTCCAGGTGAGGAATACACTTTCCCCTCTTCTAAAGATGACTGAGTTGGAGGAAAATGGCTGAAGAAGGGAAAGATGTGGAGTTTGGGCAAAGTGTCATTTTCTGGTGTGATCTTATTTTTATTTATCACAAAAAGAAATAGTAGTCCTGTTGCATTCAAGTGAGTAAAAAAAAAACACATTTTTTTGAAAGTTTGAGATTGTCTAGACTCAAGGATATAAAGAAGGAATAAGGTGGTCCTTGATCTGTGATACATAAGTATAATATGAATACATGATATAAGATGAATAATGAAGCCTTTCACTTGTGCACCACTTAATTATGCTGCGCTGAGTGTGTGCTTATAACCTTATTTATGCTAACTTTTCAATTCTCAGAATAACCTCTTAGTTACATAACATTACCCCTTATTTTGCACATGAAAAAACTAAGGGACAGAGTGGTTGTGAGATTTGCCTTAGGTCACACAGCAGATTAAGAGGCTGAGTCTGACAATCTGGCTCCAAAATCTGTGCAGCCTCTACAATGCTGCATCTATTAAAGCTATGGAAGAAGGGGAATGCTAAAAGCACATTAACATCTGGAGTTGTAAAAATAAGACTATTCTCTTTAAGATGAATTATTTACTTATTTAATATTTTTATGTTTCTGGGGATCAAAGCCAGGATCTCACACAGGCTAGGCATGTGCTGTACCACTGACCTACACCCTCAGCCCTAAAATCGATAATTCTAAGAATGCAAGCATAGGAGGGACTGGATGTTAGTCCCACGGTGACTTGGGAGAAGGAGGGCTTACAGAGCTGAGGACCCAAGGAGTGTGATACAGGTTTGAGTGTCAGGCTTCCTGGGTTTGGACTAGCTTTAGTTAGGCACTTAGCTTATTAAAGTTTCAGATTCACCTTCTGTAAAAGGGCATCAGCTTTGTAGGTAGCTTAAAATCAAGGGTGATAATAAATGTAAAGTGCTCAGCACYGTGCTTGACACATTATAGAATTCCATCAAGATCAGCCCCCGTGAAGTCTGAACCACGTTGAGCTCAGAGGCTTCTGTGGGAAGAGACCCTGCCCATTGACCACTAGATCCTCCAGTGCTTTCCATGAAACTTTGGGCTTAAAAAAATTATTTCAATCAATATGACTAAATGGGTGGATCGGAGGAGGTGGATGGAGAAACTTGGGAGAAAGAAACTTGGAAGAACGAACACAAATAGATGATGAAATCGTGATAATCGGACCATGAGCTCAGTGTTTTGCCTGCCTCATCACATGGCTCCTTGTCCACCTCACTATATAAAGAAGAAAACAAGGTTCAGAGAGGTTAACTAATAACTCTCGGGCRGATCCATAGTTATGAACACAAAGTCTCCATGTGGACTCAGGTCATGTGACTCCAGAGTTCAACTTCCTTATCTCTGTGTTTGCCACTCGGTCGCCTGGCTTGAAGAATGCGGTAAGGAAAGAGGCATATTCTTAGACAATTGATTGAGGACGCCTTGTTAGCTATAATTTGTTTTAAATTTTTTCACTTGAAGCAGAGAAGTGTGTGTGTGTGTGTGTGTGTGTGTGTGTGTGTGTTTACATTAACTTTAAACCTTAGAAATAGTTAGTAATTATTTAAATATCATAACTAGTAATTCAGATCATCAGCATGGTAAATTAGCATTACAAACTTCCAAACTTTGGGGCCACCCCATCAAGTGCCACCTTCTAAATCTGTGCCTGGAGAGTTCTCATTAGCACATGAGATAGAAATAATTATTCATTGTGAAGCCAGTTACATTCCAACTAAGTGGGTTGCCAAACATACAGCATGAGGCAGCTCCAGCTCTGCCCTGAAGAAGAAYGAGAGTGAGGAAGTCAAAGTCCCAGGGGGTCCTGGACCTAGAACACTGCTATGTGCTATGTCCACATGACTAACCCAAGAAGACTCTGCTTTCTGACCTAAGGTGAGTGAATTCTCCATGTAGGTCTCCGTCTTGGACTGAATCTTTTTTGTGGAGTGTATGTGGGAATACCTAAAATGATAGAGCTGAGACTTCACTGAGTTTGCAGAACAGATGGTACGATGTTTTTCCATGCCTTCTTGGTAGTAATCATTGGTGGTAACAGATTTGACTGGAATGCTGTGTTTGTTGGACTGTTCCACCTGGCAGTGAGATTATGAGAAAACAACCTGTCGCCTCCTCCATCTCTAATCCCTGAGACCGCTGTTTGTCAGCAAGCAAAAAGACCCTGGCAATAGGCCAGATGGGCTTGGTTGAAAGGTCAGAGTGCATCAGTGAGGTGAGAGGGGTTTACTGTTATAGAATGAGTAGGACAAGTGAATTCTAAAGTCCTAAATTCAAGTTCTGGTTTCATTTGAAACTGGCTCTTTAAAATTTAGAAATTAGCTATTGAGGCTGGACCTTTTCCCCCCTCATTGTGTAGAGTTGGACATTRTATAATAAGTGGCAAAACACGTCAGTCCAGTTGCTCCTCTACCATTGATAGCAAAACACCATTCAAGGGAATACCGAAGGCAATATGGTATAGTTCTTCTGTATAAAGAGTATGGGGGACTGAGATTGTGGCTCAGTGGTAAAGCACTTGCCTACCCTGTGCAAGGCACTGGGTTTGATTCTTAGCACCACCTAGAAAGAAAAAAAAATAATAAAGTTCCGTCAACAACTAAAAAGAATTTTTAAAAAGAGTGTGGGCATTATATATATTATATATCTGTGTGCATACATATAAAAACCATCTGGGCACAAACAGAAAAGTAGTGACTTTAAGAGCAGAAGGTTGGGGTGACAGAGAGTGGGAGGTCAGTGAGTGTGAAAGAAGCCTTTGCTTTTATTATATGAACTTTTGTAATGTTTGAAAAATTTAAACCATTTATCTTGATCACAAAATGTCATAATTTTTTTCTTAAATAAAAATTGTTCATATCCGTGATTCTTGCCCAGAAAAAGAAGTAGTGAAGGAGGGAGAGAGCTGTAAATCACGAGAGAATGTGAGTATCTCTTCATAATGTTGTCCTTTAAAAAATGAATATAGATTTTAGACTATTAGGAAATGTCCAGAGGCTGGAGAGACAGATGTTTAAAAGCTGGGTATGGACAACTACGTACCTTGATATGTGTCTTGTGCTGCTTTGGGGAGAAAAAACTGGAAGATTACAGATTTCTATTATTTCAGGAATATGATATGCTTGAATTTAGATAAAATCCTCATTTCCGCTTTGAGGATGCATCTCATAGTGAAGCCAAGCCAGAACAATTTCTGATACATTGTTCACTAAGCTTCCTGCAACCCACCATGATCAGTCCCCACTTGGGACTTCATATGCAGCCTAAAATCTGCTGGGAGTCACTGTGCTGAGTGTATTTAGTAGCAAGGGGCATCAGGGTCCAAGCAGTCTCATGTTTCACTGTCTAAGGGACAAATGAATCAGGGTCACACTTTGCCAGGAAGGACCTTTTCAGGTGAACTCTACTTTAACTGTTCACAGGATCCTTCACCAATGTTCTACAGCCCCTCTGTGACTCTGTAGTCTGGATCACATCTCCAGGTGCAGCCACATATGGCACTATTTGATCTAACAGGGATTTATTTGACTAGATGACTCTAAGTAGGGTTAGTTAGAAGAAAGTGTGGTGAGGCCCACAGGAGGCATGTGTGTATGGGGGCGGTGGCAGGGGGAGGGAATCTGCAAGCACTGGGACACGGGGAACAGCAATGACATCAATCCAGTGTGGTTAAAGGTGCTYTCACCTCAGCAGGCCTAATGGTCACTGGTGTGCTTACTGACACACATATTGCTGGGTCCTGCACCCAGTTTCTAATTTGTTAGGTTTGGAGTAGGACTTGAGAATCGACATCTCTGATAAGTTCACAGATGCCGCTAACTGCTGATTCCAGGGCCACACGGGACATAAAGGACCTGGGGAAGAAAGCTGAGAAGTCAGTCTGGAGAGGTAGGCAGGACTTTGGAGGCCCAGCTCAGGAGCTTGAATTATGCTCTAGGGAGCACTGGGAAAACCATTGAAATCACGTGGCCCAGTAGTGGTTTTAGGAACCTCACACCACAGCGGTGAGAATGGATTGAGGAAAGGTGAAGGGCTTGTGTGTCCCAGAGCCTGAAGATAGTTGGAGGCCTTAGTCTGTGTGGGTAGGTGGTGGTGGCTGGAGAAGCTATGAAGATATTTCCTATTGTATGAATTATGGTAGGATTACTTCCTATTGTAGAATTGTAGGAATTTGAGAAATGTTTAGGTGGTGATATTGGCAATTTGTAGGATGTGGGCAGCGAGGTGGTAAGGAAGAGGAAGAAATGAAAGAATGTATGTAAGCTAGAAGGATCCTGTAAAGAGGGCCGTCTTCATGGATGTAGAGACCGTGGAGTAGAAGGGTCATGGACAAAACAGGGAGTCCATTTGAAGCTGTGCCTTCCATTTGATGCTCTAAGAGAAATCTTGTAGTTTTCTTCAAAGTGGAAAAGTGCAGAAGTCATGTTGCCATGAGCATTACTTTCAGGCTCAAAATGAAATTTATGTGTAATGAGTTTATTTATCATTATCATTAGTCTACAACCCACCTGGGAATGTTTAAGGCCCATTTTTTTCTGGCTGTAGAGTATACCAACCATTGAAGTTTTGTAAGAGTTTATTCTCAGGGCCACCAAACATGGAGGTGAGAGAATCTTGAATCTACCTCCCCAAAGATCTGGTTTGGGAATATTTATGGGATAAAGAATCAGTGTGAAAATCGATCAGAAGTGAAATAATCAGTTGTCTGCACACGTGTTATCCATCCTCATGACTTTTTGTGGAAGGCATGTTCAGATCATGGCGGTCTTAGCATGATCCTAGGGCAGAGGTTTTGGCTGTCTGATGATAAAAGAGCTAGTGGTTTCAACAAAAGTAGCCTTCAAGTCCCTGAAAAAGTTCCCTAGGCAACCATTATCAGRATCTACTCAGTAGAGGTCTGGTCTGCAGCAAAGTTCTTGGGAGACTGGTAGTATATTATTCACCTGTGTGACCTATAGAATTCGTGATGTTTAAAGTCAGCTAAAAGCTAGTAACTAAAAGCAAGGGATGCTAGAGGCTTTATTTAGTTTTCTTCTTGATTTCAGTCTGAGTAATCTCTCACACTCAATGCTTTGAAAGTTTAAAAACTTGTGCAGAGCTTTCAACTCTAGTCAAAAACACCACTTCCTTGTGCTTTCAGACCCTAATAAGAGTGAGATGCTGAGGGTGCGGCTCAGTGGCAGAGCACTTGTCCAGATGCATGAGGCCCTTGGTTGATCCCCAGCACTGCCATACACACACACACACACACACACACAATTTTTTTTAAAAAAGACCAAAAAAACCCCCAAATAACATTTAAAAACCCCAACGACAACCAAAGAATTATGTAACTGATAATTTGCAGTTATCGATGGAAAAACAGTTCCACCCTTTATGTGTAAAGAACTCTTCGATATTTATAAGAAAAAGGTCAACATCCTTTAAAGGGGGGGAAAATGCCCACTGAAAAATAAATACCAATCTATATATGTATTGAAAGCGTGTTTAAACTCACTTTAATAAGAGAATGAAAACTAAAACACATTGGGAGAAAATTGAAAAGCAGGAGCAAAGGCTAAGAGAGAGCTACTGGTATCTTCGCCTGCCCCCACCCCCTCCCCACCATCCAGAATCTCTTCATGGAAAGCTGGATGAGTAAGTAAGGAAAAGTATTAAATAGCTGCGGGAAGGTGGCAGTGAGTGGTGTGGTGATGGGTCCCAGTACTTCTCCTTTGCTTTGCTGGATTGACATTCACCAGCCTGCATAGGCTGTGCCTCCAAAGGAGGATTCACACCGAGCAAATAGAAATCTAGAGGAAGGATCATCCTTAGATTAGTTGTCATGTAGGATTAATCCATGCACAAAATGGAAAAAAATCCACTTGTAATTTATATTTAGTTTTCTTTTCTCCCTGTATTAAGTATTCATATTCACATATGATTATTATAAAATAGCTGGGGGCTTTGAAAGAACTAAAAGGATATTGTTATTTAAAAGGATCATAAATTTAAAAGAATTAAAACACACACACACACACACACACACACACAGGCACGCGCGCGCATGCACACACTCTCATAAGACCTACATAAACTTAGTGGTCCCATATCCCAATTGTAGTTTCAGTTATTTTAAATGACAGCCTCTTAATGACCAAATTGTTCACCTCAGCATATGATCACAAAAAGATCATTATAAATAAATGTACATCAAACTTATAGTTTGATAAAAGAGAATCTTTCATGGTCCATGGAGGCCAAAAATCAGAATTAAATTTTTTTTTTTGTATTTCAAGATAAACAATACATGTACTTACTAACTTATATCTACTTTTGCCCAAATTTTCCATAAATAAAATAGAAAACAAGTTTATTTTATGCCCACTGTATTCTGGTACATTTTATAAATGTGGCTCTTTAGATATTGATTTCTCCAAAAAAAAATCTCAAAATATGTTAATTCTTAGTTTTGGATTTCCAGGTGAACAAYATTTAATCTTGCTTTATTCATCTGTGACAAACATTTTTTTTCACATGGATAATGGAAACTGCAAAAAATAGTCATTATTTTAGTGTAAATAGATCCAAGTCATTATCAATAGACATTTAAACACATAAATAAAAGCTGTCCAAATGGACAGAGGTCAAGTTTAAGAATACTTTTGCCATTTACATTTGAAAGCTATCAGATGAAACAGAACTCGAACTGATACTTTAAAAAAAGAAAAACCAACTATATATGTCAGGAAAGGAGAAAATATGAAATACTCATTGGTTCTATGGCAGTACCTTTATGTGGCTATTAAGGGTCTAGGCTCTGGCATCAGAAATAGATTGATATCTACCCCTTGTTAGGTGTGCAACCTTGAACCTCTGCAAAATGTTAACTATGATATAATATCAATACCTATTCCCGAGGCTGCAATTAGGATTAAATGAAATAATGAACATAACCTTTTCAGTGCATTCTTGGGCACAATGTAATTAACTCACAAATATCTTAATGATCATGATGAAGATGGGAAGAGAATAGGAAAAGTATGCTGATAGGTTACAATGTAAAGAAACACCTGAAATTCTCTCTCCAGGGCTTGAAACAGTTTTATAGAAGCGAGAGTGAGTGGGTGAAATCTCCCCCTGGTGATTTAGGCACCTTGGCTCTAAGCCTAGCACTGCTGCTGCTTGACCACATGTTCTCAGACAGCTGAGTGCATCTCTCCTGGCTTCTAACACATTCTGTTCCACGAGCAGGTGAGATGATCTGACAGCTCCAACTTTTTATCTCCCCTTTGAATCCAAGCTGGGCTCCCATTTAGGAGGAGAATAGATACGAMAGTCCCTAAGAATTGAGAATTCGAACCGCAGTATTTAGTTGATTTCGTTGTTGTTGATTTATTTCTTTCAAATAAAGAGTCCCTTGACGTTCAGCTCTCAATGAGAGAAACTGATATGGCCATGCCTATCTATCCCAAGGAAACCCCATAGGAAGGCTGCTTCCCCCCCACCCCCAGAGCAGGCATTGAGAATTAAACACAGGGAGAACTTGGATTTCAGTTAGTCTTTAATATAATTCCAAGTCTTTAACAGTAAACAAAGATGTTAAGTATAAAAACTCAAAACACATTATCAATCAGTAGTTCTGAACACTCACAGTGGTCACAATGTGGGAACTGAGGTCACTTACATTTTAAGGAAATAGCACTCACACTGTTTCAGTGGACTCACTTTCTGCAGATGGAAGGCAAAGGTGAGGCTTATTGTGCAAAGTGTCTTCACTTAAAAGCAGCTTTCTTCTTTCTTTCTTGGCATTTAAAAGAACTGTTCATTTTCCTTTTAGGTTAAAAGTGCTATAAGAACTGAAGAGGCCTCTCCTTACTGAACTAAACTATATATGTCACATACATTTATGGGTCAACATTGCTGGTTAAATTCCCTCAGAATTAGCAACTCATAAAAAATTAATAGTTAGGAGAAGTTGTCACTCTTGCACACCAAAAATACGATTTAGAGTTCACAGTACAAAGCTCTATGGTACAAAGTGCCTATAAGCAGCTTCCCATCATGTATTGCAGCCACAGAACTTCCCTGGAGGACAGATCCGTTGTTGGCATAAACTGTAGTGACYAGAGGCTTCTCGGATAGGATGTTCTGGACGCGGAGAACCTACTCAGAAAATACAAAGTATTAATAGAGTCATCACATTTGTATGCCACTCAACCACCAACAATTCCTGTCTTCCACAGTGACTAAGAGGATATGCTGTTGAAAACAGCAGTTACCAATCTTTTTTAATGTTTAAATTACTTTCTCAAACCTTCAAAGAAAGTACTTTTAAAAACCATCCAGTTATGCCATGCCAACAYCGGATTTAGTGTTATTATTGCAATTCAAGATTAAGAGAAATACGTTCACACTAATGTGCCTACTTTCACACTACTTCACTGTGAACAAAAATCATGTCATGCGGTGAACTGACAATAAATGGGATATTTTAAAAATTTACAGTATACTGCACAAGAAGGACACATGTCTTTATAAAAATGCCTTTTGACTAATTTCCACCATAATTTAATACATCAAAAGATTACCCTTCTTAAAGCATTTGAACAATGCAACATTCTGCCAATTATTGGCTTAAAGCAATTGCAAAACCACCACACAAGTTTATTGGATTATTGGTTTAAGASAACTAACAAATCATCCCTGTGACAGTTCGTTGGCGTATTAGTTCTAAAGGACTTGAATAATGAGGGTTGAAAAACTCAAACTATAAACACCTCTGATGAGGGAGGATTGTTGGGGTCATACACAAAGAGCTTCTGGCCATTAGGATGACAGCCTATCCAGATGTCCCCCGAAGAAGGATCAATAGATACATTATCCACCAGTGTGTCCAACTGGAGTACCTAACAAGTGAAGAAATGTCAGTATCTAAATGACATGAGCAACTTAATTAAATAATTCAGAGCTAAACTTTCCTGCCTGTATGCATGTGAGGAAATTATACACATCTTCCGATGAAACACCAATATTGCTTAAAATAAATTTAATAAATTGGTTTGGAACCACTTTTCATCTTCTCTGGAATTAAGAGAGTTAGGACGATGCTCAATCTCTCAAAAAAAATGAACTCCTTTTCCTTTAAAAGATGCACGATGATCAGTTAGCTCAAGGAACTCAAAGCAAGAGAGGAAATTCTTAAATCAACCTAAAACATGTGTTGCAGAGCAGGAAGAAAATAATAATGGTGTGGAACCCAATTTCTACCTTCATTTATTATTGAAAGAACTGACACCGTGCATAAATCTTCATTTGAGAATTCATCTATTAGTCTTTTCAATTGTGAAAATTCTTATTGGAATTCATCAAATGCCATCAATACTTCATAGAACGAGCCCTAAATCTGATGCAAACATCACTCTCAACCGGCTGCTGCATGTAATCAGAGTTGGTCTTTGTGATCACTGGGAACATGAGATTTCTCTCATAGGGAGGTAATATCTAAAAACACAGAACTGTTACACTAGCATCCATTTGTTCTAAGTGTGGTACTGGTATAATAGATGAATACTTACTTTATACATAAAAATAAATACTTACCTTTATTTGAGTTAAGTTCATATTAGGGTGTTTTTCCAAAACATGAATTTCATGTGCCAACATGTCAGCAACATAGAGATACCTTAGTGGAAAGGACAAACTGGTTAGGGCTTCCTGCCAATAGATAGCTTCATTAATACAGTATAAAAGAATAAGTCTTAATAACCTGCCAAGGAGTTAATCAATGATGGGCCCTCGAGGAATACTTGATAAAGGTCAATTTTTATTTAAAAAGTAAAGCTTTCAAAATCAATCCAGTGGTGCTACAACAATCATGGAATTATTAAATTATTTCTCAAAAGATTTGTAAGGAAAAATAGCATAGGACATCAATTTGAATAGAAAGCCCACGATACTTCCCACTGAAATGACAATATAACAGATGTTTGGTTTGCTAAGAAAACCTTCTACATTCCACAATGTAATTTGACATTTTTAACTATCACATAGAAACATATGGTACAGAATACATTTTATTAATGCTATTTACTACTACTTATTAATAGTTAATAAAATATCAGTGCATGGAGAACTTGAAGAGTAAGAGATAAGTATCAATTCAGAACAATCRATCTACACCTGTGGAGTGTGAATTAATGAGCCACTCTGGATAATTTCATTGCCTGAACTGGCTGTTCTGTGGCCACTGTTGCATTGAGGAATCATTACTGCAACTCTGCGGTGGCAGATTCAAAGGTGAAGTAGACACAGCCTTTCTCCCCAGATGTTTGGAATGTGTTGGGAGGATCAGACTGGTTTGAACCTATGAAATACCTAAGTTTCTATTTCATGTCTAGAAACTGAAAAAAAAAAACCCAAAAACAAAAAAACTCTAATTCCTGAGAAGACAAAAAGACTCACAAAGGATGGGGCACCCACATGAAGCACACAGAAGCAGAGGTTAGATCTGACTCACCTTCCGCCCAAAGAAAACACATTTGTCAAAGAACAGGGGCAGAAGTGAGGAAGGGTTGTTTGTCAAAAATGAGTTTGTTGTCTAAAACATGGAAAGTATGAAAATAACAGAAAGAGGCAGGGTGGGGCAAGTCATTTAAAGAAAACCCAACCCTTTCCTGCCTTGATTTGATGAACAATTGGATTCCGAGGGAGTTTTTGAACAACCAAGTGGCATAATAACAAATGGTGAGCACAGTTCAACAATTACAGAGCATTTGCTCTGCTCACGGTGCTGTGCCCCCATGTGAGGAGTCAGAAAGGAAGTCAGAGCTCCCATTGTGGGAGCCCTTAAAGGGTAATGAGCCATGGAGAGACAAAATAGGCAAGAGTGCAAAAGATGGAAGGAGGCTGGAAACTACTTGGAACAAAGTCTTCCTAGGCAGAGAGGATGAGAACTGAGCCAGGCASGCAGCTGGGAAAGGAGGGTGAGTGGGGGAGGGGGCATGGGTGGAACCAAGGTGAGTTGCTCATGGGATGGACAGGAATGGTGAAAGGGAAGGAGTCAGAACTGAATCATTCTCCTCCTCCTTCTTCTTTTTATTATTATTATTACTGTTTAGCCTGAGTGTCTGGAAAGTTTGTTGTAATAGAAATATGAGAGATGGAGAGAAAACCAGATTTGCTACAGAGGTTGAATCAGGTCAGTTAGAGACAATTTAAATTAAATGATTCTACATTTCTTTTCAGTAAATAACAAGAAAGGAGAAATTGCATTGCAAAAATAAGGACATTTGTTGTCAAGGAATGCCAGATTTATTTCTTGTTGTATTTGTGGTAGTTTAAATTGCTCAGTGTGCTAAGGCAGTAGGAGAGAAAGCTGGTAAAGGATTTAATATCCTTTCTTGYAGATTGTTGTTGTGCACACAAAAAGAGTGAGAGAATTTCTGCAAGTAATTTGGCAATATTTATTACAGTTAACGTTTTATTACAGTTAACTGAGCAACTAGTTCTATTTCTAGGGGCTCAATCTATAGAAATACTTGTACAAATATACAAAGAGATAGGACTCATAATGCCATTTAGCCAATGTCTTAATTGGGATTTGAATGCAGGTCTGTATGAGTCCAAAATCTGYAAGTTTAATCATTATGCTTTAATGCTCTCTGAGGGAGTTTTCCCCTTAAAAATATCTGGATAAGTTTCAGTGGTAAATGAGAAATACAGAATGGTCTTTATGCAGAAAAATAATATTAATTAACATGTTCATCAACAGACAATTGGTTGAATTAGTTTAGGATCATCCTTATAATGGCAAAATACATAGTCAATAAAAGAAAAATATATTTGTTTAAAAGGAAAGATCTACCTGATATTTAATATGCATACATAATAAGATCCCATTTTATCAAAATTTACATTTATAAAATTTATTATTGTTACTATTATTATTTTGGCACCAGTGAAAAACCATTAAGCTACATCTCCAGAACTTTTTAGTTTTTACTTTGAGACAGGGTCTCACCAAGTTGTGTAAAGCCTTGCTAAATTGCTGAGACTGGCCTTGAACTTTTGATCCTCTTGCCTCAGCCTCCCGAACTGCTGGGATTATAGGCGTATACCACCACACCTGGCTATAAAATTAAATTTGACGATGATATATGCCAAAGTTTATATATTGTATGTATATACATAACTTATTAGCGTAAATACATATAATTATGTATTATATGTAAATATGTCATATATTATGCAGACATCATACAAAAATATCAAGGAAGTTATTTTCATACTGGGGAAAAAACAAAACAAAAAGCAAACTAAAAACAACAAAAAAGAAACCAAAGACTTTGGCTAGCCTTATGACTTAGGAGAAATTAAGATATTCTGTAAGGGGCCATACTTTTTATCAGGGGAAATATTGATCCCATTTGCTGAATCAAATCCATCTGCTACCACTTTAACTTCATTTGGACTGTAGTAAACAACATTTGCCCAGTGTAAGTTCACATATGTTTCCAAATACTTCAAGAAAGGATCAGAGAAGTAGTGGTCATTGGTGGCATAGAAATGTCTTGGTCCGATAGCTATGATATTATTTACACTGAAAGAGAAAAATAACATGTGAGAGAAAACAATAGTTTATTGGTATCCATATTAAATATTAAATACCCATAAGGTTTATACAACATGTGCTTTAAATTTTTGATAAGAGGTTTTCTAGGAAAAGATGAGCTAAATTCAGTGGCTACAGTCATATGTAATATACTATATTATCATCAGCAAGAGAACAGTTTTGGACAGTAGCAGGTAATCTGAAGATAGGTCATTTAGCAATTATGACAGAATCATTATTAAAGAACTTGGCACCATCGGGGTGTTTTTGATGCAAGCAATGTAGGGTTTAATAATTACACGTAAAGATAGAACTATCCAGAGTACAGAGCTGGAGAGGGTCTGATTGACTGGTGAGCTGGTTAGGCCGTCAGTAACATTTACCTAGCCCCCCTTTACTCACTTGTTGGATCTTCCTGATGGCCCATGCTTAGTTATTAGTCAAACTAAGGTTGACTATTCAATTTCTACCTGCCTCACAAAGTCGACATGCTGAGAATGAACAGGCACTCAATAAACACTTGCAGAGAGATGGATGATGAAATTGCCATAGTACAATGCTGCAGGTGAGAGATTGATATGCTAAAAACAATTACATTTTAAAACCAGTTAGGCAAAGGTGTCATTAAATTTAAATTCCAATTACCCTATGCAAAAATTTCTGAAAGAGCTGCTTTCTTCTTTGTCAAATGAAAAATACGGAGCTACAGGGAAGGTTGGTCTCCTTCTTTCTGAAAGAGCCCTATAATACAGAAGCTGCCTGAATAGTATTTATGCTCCTATTTATTATAAAGTGCATCTTGGGGGAAAAAATGATGGGAAGTTACATGCTTATGCCCTAGATAAGGAAGTARAAATTAAAAATATCCATCAAATTTAAACTAAAAACAGTAGGTGAATGCAAACTGAGCTGAGAGGATATACATGGTTCTCTTTTAGCCAATTTATCTGCCAGCATTATCTTCTTGACGTGGTAGTGACCCACTTCCAAATTGAATGCTTCCAAATCTATGGGGCCATTAGCCCACAGCTGCCAACTAACCACATGAGATCACTTTGTAGAAAAGCCCCATACAAAGCATACAAGCCCTGTATGAAACAGGCTATTCTCCCTTGGCAGGACAAGTGTTTGGGTGCTGAGTCATCTAAGATGAGGGCAACAGCAGGAAAAAATGGTAGGATGTGTCTTTATTATCAAGATGTGCCTGAAGAGTATCGCCCTGTAACCTAGCCTTTTGTCATTCTCAAGGAAATCCTCCAGAACACTGATTATTGCAAAGAAGGCCCTCAACCTTCGTATGCCACGTTCTCCATGATCTATAAGGAAACTATACCACAGGTGTGTGTGTGAGCGAGTGTGTGTGTGTGTGTGTGTGTGTGTGTGTGTGTGTTTAGTGGGTGTGTATACAGGTGAAGTAGCCCTTATCCAAAATACTTGGAACCGGAAATGTTTCTCATTTTTTAAAAATTTGGAGTATTTGCATATATATAATGAGATATTTTGGTGATGGGACCCAGGTCTAGACATGAAATTTTTTTGAGGTGGGTACCAGGGACTGAACTTAAGGGCACTAGACYACTGAGCCACATCCCCAGCCCTATTTGTGTCTTATTTAGAGACAGGGTCTCACTGAGTTGCTTAGTGCCTCACTTTTGCTGAGGCTGGCTTTGAACACGTGATCCTCCTGTCTCAGCCTCTGGAGCCACTAGGATTACAGACTTGTGCCACCAGCCTGGCAAAATGAAATTCTTTTATGTTTTATATGCATCTTACACATATAGCTAGGAGATAATTTGATACAATATTTTTAAGATTTGTACATGAAACAAGTTTCATATTTAGATGGTACACCTGACTCATGTCCAAGTTTCATGCTGAACTTTTACTGGTGGCATCAAATTAGGACTCAAAAAGTTTTGGATAATGGAACATTTTGGGTTTCAGATTGTTGAATTAGAAATGCTCAACCTGTATAAATATACATGCACATATAAACACACACACGTATAAACTCTTGTATTATAGGTAATATATATTACGTTTTATCTATAAGTTCATACATATGTATTAGCTCTTATAAAATTCGAGAAGACCACTCATTATGGGGAATGTTTGAAAATGCTAGAGAGAAACTAGAGAATGAACAAAAGAAGAAAACAATACCTTGGAAGAAGCTCATGTTTGATTGTTTTCAGGTGTAACAGAGAATTTTCTTCTTCTTGGAATTTAAAAATTTCCACTGTATTCTTGAATTCCGGGTGGTTTACAACAAAGAGATAAACTGTGTCATCTAAAGAATCCACAGAACAGAGTTAATTTGCAAGACATAACCATAGGACCTCTGGGCAGGCACTGACATTTAAATACCACGGGCAAGGAAAGGTTGAATGTACAGCTGTTAGACGACCTAACAGATCATTCTTCTTCCCAGGCTTTCCCATCACTGTCTGGTGTTATTTCTGATCATTGGTCCTCTGACCTTTAAGAAAGAGTGTTTCCCACTCCATATGCAGAATTCATGCATAATCTGTTTATAGTTTAATTCAGAAATATATCTCTTTTTAATACAATAATCATAAGTATATGAAAAGGTTATGAAATCTAAACAATTTTTCAGATGTTAGCTGTTAGAAATTTCAAAATGTAGCATAATTTACTGCCAGCTGAAGAGGCATGTGAACAAGTTGCTTATATGAAGATGCGGGAATAATTCATGAGAAAATTGTTTCTTTCCTATCAATAGGATCCAAATCTGTTTTCCACAGTCATCTGTGGGCCACTTGATGTTTCTCAACGTTGGTAGCTCATCAGCTCTTACCGTCATCTATGAAGGTGCTAATGCCATGTGGATTAAAGGAAGCTAAGTCAAAACCCCGGCTAATTCTTAATTCCAGTGCCCTGGGTTTTTCTTCTTTTAGGTCCATCATTAGTATTCCTCCAGGCTTATCTGGTGCAAAGCTGTGGAGTCCTGGATATTTCAGACCCTTTCCAAAACAGTAAGAAAAGTTAAATACAAAGGCTTAAGAAATTTTGCAGACTAAAGTGGGAACTGCACATGAATGATAAAGACTTTTTGGTTAAATGTGGTGGCATCAAGCCACAGAGACAAAGGAAACAAGAGAAGACACGAGAAAAATTTAAAAATTGGTAGTTGGAAAGCTGAACAATAAGGATTTTGCTGAGTTGAGATGGAATATCAGGGATTTATTCTTTTCAAAAGGTACCAGGAGGTTGGTGGATGGGGAGATTCCAGACAGAGCTGGAATCTCTGCATATTAACTGTGGAGACCCTCAAGCCCCTGACCAGCACTCTGCCTCCACAATGCCARAAGTCCTCATCAACAGTCCGTCACAATTCCTTTCCTTGTCTCACACCTCAGATCCAATACCTCAGCAAATTCTGTTGGCTTTGCCTTGAAAATGTATCCCTTCATATAGACATGAAATGTTCTTACCCCCTCTTCTAAGACTTCCCTGGTCCACATCACCACCATGTTATAGCAATCACCTCCTAACTGGCCTGGCTGCTACTGCCCTTAATACCCTATTGTCTATTGTCACCTCAGCTTCCAGATTGTGTCAGATTATGTCATACCTCTAAATAAAATTCTGTGTGGCTCCCCATCTCCACCTGATCATAAGCAAAAATTCTTGGGACACCCAGAAGTTGCCACATGATTAGCACATCTCACCTTCCTCACCCGGACACCCATCTCTCTCCTTCATCTACTCTGWCTTGTCCTCAATTTCCTTAATGTTCTTCAACAAGACAGCTGGTTCTTGCTTTGGGCTTTTATTCACTGTTCAATATGGCCAGGAATGCCTGACACCCTACCCCAAGATATAGGGATCCTTTCTTTGGTTTCCTTATTTGATACACATCAAATGTCACCTTTTCAGTAAGGTTGTCCCTAACCAAAATACTCACCTGATCTGGCACATCCTGTCCTCCTCCTCCTGTTTTACTATTCTCCATTGCCTTCCTTGCCATTTGACATACCTACATAAATACTGTTCAGTACTTAGTATAGTAAGGGGTTAAGACAGAAATAGACTGAGATGACTACTGACCTCACTCAGGGCTCACGGGCTGCTCTTCTTTCTGCCTGTGAGTCTCTTCTCACCAAATCTGCAAGATTTATGCCTTCCCTTCCAACTGATCTCTGGGAAATGTCACTTATCAGACAGACCTTACCTGCACCCTCTCCAAAATGGCAGCATGATGTCACCTTCACTACGGATGTCACTCTCCATACTCCACCTTATTTTATTTTTTTTGTTAAAGCACTGCCACTGTCCAATTCATACTTACAAAGCCCCACTGGAATGCAAGCCAGGACTTTGTCCCATTTGTTCCCTGCTAGATCCCACAGCCTGGAAGAGTGTCTGGCACATATTCCATTCTCTTCCCACTTACCGGAAACATTACTTTCATCATGTCCTGGATCCCCATTTACTTACTGGTCTGTTAGGGGACTCTCTATTTTGTTCTTTATCTATCTCATGCCTATTCTTGTGCCAATGCACCACTTTTTAAATTACTGTATCTTTATACATATATTGAATATGTGCATGACATTCATATGGGAGACTAAATTTCTGTTCTGAATGGAAGATTCTATCATYGCGTTTTGTTTTCTTCAACTCCGTGGGAAGCCACGGCATTTGATAAGCTTATTTGAATCCAAACATTTCACTGAACTCTCCTCTGAGTTCTATCGGTCTGTTCATTGAATCTCTTGGATTGTCTAAAAAACAAGGAACCATATTATCTGGAAATAATGACACTTCTGTCTCTTTTTTCCTATCTCACATTTCTTTTCCTTTTTTTATTAGGTTATTAAGAATTCTTAATAGATTATGGAAGGTTACAGTGTTACTGGGCACGTTCATCCTATTCTGGACATTAATGGAATGTTTCACTGTTAAAAATGATGTTTGCTGCAGGTTTCTGGGAATTTTCCTTCTATTTCTAGTTTGCTTGGAGCTTTTAACCAGGAATGAGTATTGAATTTTATTTAATGTTTCTTTTGGCACTCTAAGTCTTTTTTGTTTTAATTAGTTACTTCAGTTATCTATTTATAAAATGCTGATTCATTCTTACATTCTTAAGGTAAAACCTCATGGGTGATAATAAATTTTACTAGAATGCACTCTTTTAGTTTACTAATAYAATGCAGTTTTATTTTATACAAATTTAATGGTACCATAAAAAACAAAGCCTCACTTCATGCACATTATTGGACACTTTAATTTTTAAAAATCTACAATTACATACCTTCAAGGCTGGCAGGCAGAGTAAGTAAAATAAATTGAAATTATGCTATTGCTACATGGCAGTGATACTTAAGCTCTTAATAATCTCCATTCTTTAGTAATGTCCCCAGCCAAAATAGCATGGTTTACATGCACAGGAAGAACTTCCAGATGGTGATAAGTCTTCATAATTATTTAAATATTTTTTTTTTAAAAAAAATCCTTATTTCTGATAAAATAGAAGTAACATAAAATTCAACATCTTCGCCATTTTGAAGAGTACAGCTCAGTAGTGTTGGGTACATTCACCTTGTTAAAATCTTTTTAATATTCTATTCTGTGCTATCCAGTTTCTCATCAAGTGTGATGCTATTCTCRAGGTGACCCTCAAATCCATGCCTGCACAATAGATGGGCTGAATGAGCTAAAATATTAGGAAGAGAAGCAAATCTTACGATGTATGAGCCATTCACTTAGAAGAGCACACTTTGAGAAGTGTGAGACACATCACTGAATAAATAAAAATGTGACAATAAGGGAATGTTGTGAGGACAAAGGAAAGTTAATAGAGAAAAGCAGAAAAAAAAATTTCTGTAGACGTGGCTACAAGACTATTGTGATTGTAATGTGCCCCTCAGCCAAACTGTGGATTTATGTGCTTAGAAATCTCACTGTTTCTCCTTAGAATTTATCCCTATGGGGGTAAAAATCCTGATGAGGTAAGTTTAAAGAACACACCCTTGCAAAAACAAACAATAAACAAACAAAAAACCACCCCAATGAGACTGCTTTCTACTTTATCCAGGAATTTTGCATCTCAAGTTATGAATAATTTTGATTAGTGGTTCTAGTGGTTTTTTCCCTAAGCCTCTAGATACATGCTTCCAAACAAACCCAGAGCCCTACTACAAATATCACTTGATTCATTAAATAAAACTTTTMTTTTAAAGCTGAATATACATTTTGGTGTATATTAACATCCATGGTATTTCCTTTTCCCTCAGGGGCACTAACAGTGGCTCACAATTTTTCATATAAAATCATCATTAACSTGAGGAGTGTTCCAACCCTTATTCTCTTCCAAGCTGAGTTCTCTCACCTTTCCTGTAAGCCTGACAACTATTTTATTAGTGTTGCATCTCTCTTCTAAACTACCTCCAAGTTTTCACATGCCTCCTGAGTCTCAGAGTCTGAAATAATGGATATTGAGGGGGAACAAAATAATTAAAGTTAGTCGGAAGAAGCAGATACTTCTTCTTCCAGAAAAACTGGACCCATGAAAGTCTTATCTCTGCCCAAACTTGAGAAGTGGGGTCAGAAGCGCTCACCTGCCTACTTGTCTGGATTTCCAATTACAATGGATAATGAAGAAGGCCAGCATCATGAAGGCTAATCAGTTTAAAAGTCTTTCTATGATGTGCTCAGAAGGGATATTATTTTTCAGATGATAGGAATTAAGGCAAAAAGGAAGAGTATAAATAAACTCAGTCAATGATTTTCCACTTAGGATAGGCTCTTCAGGGAAATAAAGAAAGAAAAAGCACTGGCCTTGTTTGGGAAAGTATATTGCTTGAAATAAATAACAAATATGAATATGTAAGATTAAAAATGCTTAAAACTGAATATGTAATGGAAAGAAGGATAGATCCTGTGTTTAAGACAGAAAAATGGTAGAATCTAACATCCACAATGATACCACAAATATCCTTTTTAATAACACACTTTAAAAACACACACTGCACTGGAATATTCTAACGTGATCAATCTTTTTTTCAGAACATATTTTGAAGAGTGAGGCATTTTTAAAGCAAGCTATTCCTCTATGGGCCTGAACAAATGCCCTGTCTCTCCTCTATTGCACGTGGAGAAATGAGATGGTACTCACCACACTAAAGAAAACCAGGCCATTGGGAAGAATGTCAATATCTTCAGCACCAGCTTCTGTAAGTTCAAGCAAGTGGAGAAATATCATTTTCAGATTGTTATTCATTAGAGATAGCATCACTGGGACTTTGTTTATTCTATCAGAGTGTCTGTATCTTTATGGATGGTTCCAGTTTATTCCAGGACCCTATTCTCTTTAATAAATGTCAGTCTAAAACCTTTCCTAAAGTGAACTTCTGACTTTAAATGTTAGATGTTTTATGTTTACTCAAATCAAAGTCAAGTTATCACCACATTTCCAGCTATGATATAGAACAAGCTGACATCTGTACACACTTCTGATAAACATCCAGATGTCTGGATAAAAAGTAATTGACATCAGGGGAATATTTCCTTCAGAAACAAGGGCTCATAGTCATTTAACCATGCAAATTTCCTTGTCCTCTTCTCTGCTCATCCAATCTGCAACAAAAAGACATCTCTCTCACTACGGAGATAAAACACCTGGGATTACATATTTCTTCTTTTACAAACAGTGCCTACTTGTTCTCATAAGCAAAGAAAGCTTTCTATTTAGGCTTTAAATTATAGGAAAGACTAGCAAAAGAAAATTAATGAAAAAATACCATGCACCTAAGCCAGTTGAAGCTTCCAACTCCCATCTCTGAGGCAGGCTACAATTACTATTGATTGTTTATTGATTGTCTGCAGTACACTTCACATAGCACTGCAAATAATTAGACATAAGGCCTTCCCAGCGGTCTCACTGTATAAATTCCAGAGACAGATAATAGACCCAAACACAAGAAAAGAGAAATAAAAATGGCTTAGATTAAGCCAAATCATGACACATTCTTTGAGTCCACAAAATCCAATCTTCCTGTTTAAGATCTCTCCAAAGGATTTTTCCAAGATTATTTCTAGGTTGTCAAAATCAAACACCATCTATCTATACAGCCATTTTGGTTTTGATTTATGAGTTTGCTTTTAGCTGGTTACTTCTTCCACTGTTGCTTGTTCTACTATCATTGTACAGAGAAGCAAAACAAAATAAGAATGCCAAGAACTCTACTTTTAAGTGCCTATTGCTCAGAAAGAAGGCACATCTCAATAGCCTGAGCATGGTGGAGTGGAGGGGGGCTGCGTGTCCCCAAACAGCCACAGAGAGGCTTCACAGAATCTGTGGACCCTCTGAAATTCTATGCATGGCAAAATGTCTTTTATATGTAGAGATGAGAACTTTTCCTGTGAAAAGAACTATTGAAGATCAGCAGACTCAAAAACCACTAGCTTCTAGTCACAGGGATTCTCAACTGGGAATGAGCAGGGAGCAGAAGAGCTCTGTATCACAGATACACACACACACACACACACACACACACACACGCTTGCACATATACACAATTTCACTCTAAGTTTTGCTTTTTGGGCCCATCTAATAGAAGCTCAATTAATCCAAAATTTGTTTTTCCAGTAAAAGTACTTAAGAAATTTTAATTTCCATGTGAACATGTTCATATGTATATATATATATAAACAAGGTGAAATAAAAAATAATGATGTTTCTTTGAGTAGCAGAATTATGAGTGGTTTTCATTCTTTTTTTCTCTCTATATGTACACATATAAACAGAAGAACCTTAAACAAACACAAAATATAAATCATTTATTTAAAGTTTTCTGAGTATGTGCAAGGTCCTAGGTTCAATCAACAGTAACACACACACACACACACACACACACACACACAGAGCTGGGGGGATATAGCTCAGTGGAAAGTAAACACTTGAGGCCCTGTGTTCAATCCCCAACACCATAAATAAATAAATAAGTAAAAATAAAATAAAAGATAAAGTTTTCTACAAATAATAATCAAACAACCCAATATTTAAAAAAGATATTTTTATTTCAAACACATTATAACTTCTCATTTTATCTCCATTGTAACCCCCCCCCATTTTAATGAGGAAAAAAAATAAGTCTTATCTGTACCTTACTTTGGCATATTTTCCATATTTATTCACTCATCTTTCACTTCTAAGTGAACACCACAATTGACTTTTATTATCTACATCACTTCTTTGGTATGATTATTGCAAGAGTAGCCAATCCTGGAGAAATTCTTTTCTCCTCTAATTCAATAGTCATGGTAGGAATAACTACTAACATTAAGAACGCACAAGTACCAGGCTCTTTGTAAGTACTTTGCATATCACATTGCATATAATTTTATAACACTAAGAGGCAATGTTATTACCCCTTATTTTAGATCTGAAAATATGGAGGCTTTGAAAAGCAAATTGTTTAAATTACAAACCAGGAATCTGAGATTTGAATCATCTGGTGTGACTTAAAGCACATGAAAAAATATTCAACTTAGAATTTAATGAATTTTTCTCTGTCAGAACCATTCCCTGGTTCCTCTCTAAAGATACTTCACTTTGTAAATTCAACTAYGGTTAATTCCATATGTTGGCTTTGCCACCCCCTTCCCAATTGTTGCTTATGGAAAGTTTCTCACAGAATTTTTCACCAGTCCATATCCTGCACTTTTATTTAAAATCCCTTCTCCAGAAAGTCTTCTAGATTAATACATCTAATGTTGATCCCTTCCTTTTACTTCAGCAATTATAGCTCCATGTCAGAGATGGCCAAATATCCCCCAGCATCCATGCACCCCTCTACCTTCTTAGCAATAAGCACAAAGCAACTTAGGTACAGATGACACTTCCCACCTTTTCTTGCTGATAGATGGTGACACACATACTATATGACATGTAGTCAATAACTTTTATTTATTAAGTCAGAAAGGCATGATATGACATGATATTTGTATAAAGCTCCCAAGAGTTGCAAAGAGTTCATTTCCAGTGGCGGCAAACGCGGCACCGTAGTATGTGGGTGCACGCATACACGTGTTGATGGGGACAAAAGGCAAGGGGGAAGAAGTCTTCACCTCTTAGGGGTATTAACCTCAAGTGCACAGCCACTACTGTTTCCAAAACAGGAAATAAAAACACAGTCCTCCTGATCCTTACTGCCTACTATAGCCACTTGCCTTTGTCTATATGAGAAGGTATGTTCAGCACATGGTGTTCCTTACCACCAAAGACCACTGGACAAGCAACTGTTGTTAAAAATATATAACCACAAGTTATTATTAACCATTGTGCATTGCTAACATGGCACTCAACAAATGTTCATATGGTGTACTAACCACAGGGCAAAAGCAAAAAAAAAAAAAAAAAAAAGAAAGAAAGAAAGAAAGAAAAGCACAATTCTAATTAGATCTAAAAATGTATCCCAAATGTGCTTCTAATCACTCATCTTCTCCGCTCTGTTGCCTTTTGAAGTGCCTCAGAGGCATTAAACACTTCAGGAAAAGGGCCAGAGGTGACATATTTCCTCCTTCTTTCCAATTCCAGACAGCAGCTCGCACACATCACAACATAAAGGTCACAAACATAGACAGACGACCGTTCAGAATACAAATGCTGCAAGGCTTGTTTTTTTCTCTGAGACGCGCTCCATCCCAGTGAGCTGTAACAGGAATACACTTGGCAGTTTGTCCTGTAATGTGTCTGGTTGTGCCCTATTGTCTACTCTGAGACTTGAATTCACAGAAGGTGGGCTTCATGGGGCCAAGGGCTGTTTAATAATGTGACAATTATTAACTCAGTAGCAAAAGTCAACTAAGAGGTCACTGACCCAACCTCCCACTCTTGTCCAACATCCCTCACAGATGCCACCTGGCTTTTGCTGGACCCGTTCTGAGGGGCTCTTCTTGATGGAAGCCAGAAGGCAGGATAAAGCTGCCTAGGTACTGGGGACTCTAGAACTGCCTTAGGCCTAGAGCTGTCTGCATTATCCAGCAGAGATCTCRTTGACCAGGCATTTGATACTGCGTTGGCATCCTCCTGGGAAGTGTTGGGGGAACTGGAAGAAAGAGAAGCTCCAGGATAGTCAACCAGTCTGGGAGGAGGGAGATAGGACTAGGAAAATAACAAAAAKAGCAATGAGAAAAAGGAAGCCGAACACATTGCAAAGAGAGATGTAAAGAACAAGAGGCCAACAGTGATATTACTGGAAGTATTTCAATTGGGTCTCAAAGAGTAACAGGCAGGAGTTTATTAGGGATAGTGAGAATCCGTACCCACAGAATACCTCTAGAGGTATAATACTCAGAGGCCTATCTGTTACAGAGTCTGGGCTTTTTAAGGGACATGGCTTACATAATTCTTGCCTCTACTTTTCATACACTCTTAAGTGGTCCATTACCCTTTATATAGCCCTTAACAGAGTTTCTTTCTGGGGGTCATGATGACAGGTCACAAAGGGAGGGCTGTGACTTCCTAGTCACAAGAGATAGTTATGCTATGTTCTTGAAACAATAGCTCCAAGCTGGGTGTCATGGTGCACACTGGTAACCCCAGTGAGTCAGGAGGCTGAGGCAGAAGGATCACAAGTTCCAGGCCAGTCTGAGAAGCTTAGCARAATCCTCAGAAACTTAGTGACCCCTGTCTCAAAATAAAAAWTAAAAAGGTCTTGCATTCTTGGCCCTCTAGGTTTAATCCCTAGTACCAAAACAAAAGGAAGAATAAAAAGAAGCAATAGTTTCCTTAAGGGGTTACAATTAACTGTGGCTGGGRGAGGTTTAACATAAGATTTTCCATTTTTCTGATTATTGTCGGCTTGATAAAGTTTTCAGTTATCCAATCCTGGGACTTACAGACTTTCTTTGGTACCTGTGTCTGATGTCCTCCCTATAAGTTAATACCCTTCACTGTCCTGCTCATGGCTTACTGTCCACCTAATAGTAACAACATAAAGTGGGGTGTGCTGGCATACCCTGTAATCCCAGTGGCTCCTAAGGATGAGGCAGGAGGTTCATGAGTTCAAAGCCAGCCTCAGCAATAGCAATGTGCTAAGCAACTCGGTGATACCCTGTCTCTAAATAAAATACAAGGGTGAGGATGTGTCTCAGGGATCGAGCGCCCCTTATTTCAATCCCCAGATAYTCCCCCCAAAAGTAACCCTTCCTTGTTTAAATCCATGATT